CGACAGGCCCGGAGACCATCGATAGTGGAGAGGACGTCGTGGGAGCAGAGGAAGTCGATCCTGGCGACGACGTGGTGGATGATTCGTGCCTCGACGAGGACTTTGGAGGTGTTGGAGACGACAGTATTGGAACTGGGGGTTCGTCGGTGGTGGTCTTGATGGGAGTTGACGACTCCGACGCCTCAAGAGGAGCCTGCTCTGGAACGGACGGCCTCTCATGGGGAGCCTGGGTGGATGGTGCCTGGGCGGAAGAGGGCGACATCGGTTCGGCTGGATATGACGTGAACCGGCGAAGGCCTTCATTCCAGTAGCGAATGTCATCCGGAAGCTTCTTGACAGACTCGTTGAAAAACTCGATGCACACCTGGACCTCTTCCTAGTAGCGGTCAAGAGATCCGTGCACTTTGTACCTTCCGTAGAAGAGGCATTCAATCTCGCCGATGTACTTGGTAAGGGTCCCGCGCGACAAGTTCAAGGTGGGCTCATCCGACGGCTCCTTGGGGAACTTGTGGAAGACAGCGATGATGGCTGCCTTGATCTTGGCGACGTACGGACGGCGGTCCTGGTTCTCGAGCTTGAAAACCATGAGGACGGTTGGAGCGGTCGAAAAAAAGAGTTTAAGAGGGGAGTTGATGCAGGTGGAGAATATGAAGTGCGAGTGCTCAAGTGTTGCAATCAGGGTATACAGAGCGTATGTTCGGAAACTGGAATAGTTCAAAGATACGATCCAGCGCTGGTATGGAAGTTGACGGAATTGTAAGAAAAGAAAGCTTGTCTATGGTGGAATAGAAGTAATCAGAGCTACCAATCGCTGCTATTGTGACGACGACGGTGTCACAAAATAATCCACACGTGACGAATTTGGTCCCTTTGTGGCAAGAACCGCACTCACTGCGCCATTGTGACCTATTGTTCCGCGCTCTTTGACACTTGAACCAGCAACAGACTTCTATTGTGCGCATAGTCCCGTACGCGGTGAGCCTGAGTTCTGCGCGCTTATGCCGGATGGGGTTGTCTGTCTGCGCTCCTTCACCGACACTACACAATAGGCTGGGAAATCATGATGCCGCTCTGCGCGCATTAGGCTTTTCATCTCTTGTCGCATCTACTAATTCAGATTATCATGCTCTTTCTATGGAAAGTCAGAGTCAAGTGGTGCGCGATGCTGGTGCTATTGTTAGATGCGCGATACGATGACTTGACAACTAGGGACACGCATTCACCTGGACGGACTGAGATTGACGAGATTAAAAGTCACCTGACGCACATAAAGACTCCACAGCTAAGTGTCTGTGATTGAATAGTAATGTTTGCTCTAGTTGCTGATACTTGGTTCTTCAAGGTGAATGCTACCAGTGGGCCAATCGCAAGCTCTGAAAATGGAATAAAAGAGAAAATGACATGGCCCGAATAGAAATGGATTAAAAATGCTTCATCGCTTACCAGGTAGGCTATTATCGCAGGCGATATAGGGTAGTGGAAGACGCATGCGAAGGACTGACGTGCAAATCGCGCGGGCACTACCGGAAGCTCCACAATTTCCCCAGATCCATACGTCGAGCATGTCACGACAACGTGCAGAGAGATTGAGGGGGGAAAAGTCGCCTCCGCAATTTCCAAACAACATCCTCCTAGGATCGCTACTCTCTTGTCGCAGCTGGCCTACTCCCGTCAGCCTCGGTGCGACGCAGGGCTTTCACAATGACGGACTGCACAATGAGCTTCGAAGTGGGCACGACAAAGGGCTAAACGGCAGGTTCTCGACAGTCGTAGAAACAATGAACACACGTCTAGATGGTCTGTTCCGCAGCCCCTTCCCTCACAGTGCTAGTAGCAGAAGCGGAATTCTTACTGGAGTCCAACACTACGGCGCGACCATCCCAGGACGGCAGAAGTTTCATATTCTCGACTGTGACATGAACACTATTTGAGGGAAACAGAGTTTACCGGCTGTCTTACGTTAGTGAAGGGGCCTCGGTGTCTCCGTCTCTTGCTCCCACTTCCCCCAGTGACTACGCCCAACATCAGCACGTCGCCATAGATGGAAAACCTAAGACGCATCTAGACACCAGAGCCCCTGAGGAGACCATCGTACGATGCATTCATCGGTCTCAAAGCCCGGGGATTCGGAATATGCTTGCTTGGATGCGTGATCTGCAAACGTACGGGCCACAAAACATTGTCATGATGTATGGCGATGTTGCAATAGCGTGCACCCAGCTCACGTGCTACTATAAGGGTTGCTATGGTCAAGGTATGCTGTACTGACCAGTGGGAAGCCTTGATGCTAATGCTAAAGTCAAGGATATAGGAGATGAAACGAGAGCGTCTGCGTAATGGTACGCGTGTTGACGGGAAAAACTCCCAAATCCCCGTCCTCGGTTCCCCCTGTTTTCTTCTGTTGATATCCCGAAGTGCACTGGGTAGATACTTGCAGGCAAAAGTGTTGTGGTTGCCAGGCCGAGGTTGATAAAAGTAACACCGAGGAAAATGAGGGTACAGGATTTAGGATGCCGCAGAGAACGGGCCGAGAGCATGACGGGCCGATGATTAAGAGATCGTCGCTGCGGTATGTACGGTGACGTAGCTGAAGAGCAATTTGTAATTTATAGCTGATGTTCTATTTGAAGAGGTCCAGGTTGACAATACTATGGTCGCGTAGCGCGACAACAACTGACATGACGGACCGATACACTAGAGGGCTGTCAGTTCAGTAGTGAAGTTATTCCAGGGTTTAGGTACAGTTCAGAGACTGGAAAGCTACCGGTTTCCAAGACACAGGTTCGCCAAAATAGTACGAAAGAGGAGGTGGCAAATCGTATGGGCAAGACATGCCGCCTACAGGACCCAGCTAGTGTGCCTGTTTGTGGCAAGGGCAACGGCTAGTAAGGTGGGCGGGATAGAAAGCTGCGCAAAATGGCCTGATCTTGGAAAATAGATGTCGTCGGCCAGCTAGTCTGTTTCAAACCCGCTAGAATCTTCCTCGCAGATTTTGTAATATCAACGGCGCCGATATAAGTCCATTTCGCCCGCGCCGTTCTGCTTTGGGATCAAGATCTAGAGGGTAAGACGGACATTGAACTGAATGTAGAATGTCTAGATATCACGATGGAGAACGGAGTGCGAGGAGACCGAAAGTCAGTAGAACAACGGAGCTAAAATGTGGAGAAAGATACTCTTTCTCCAGCATCGGCTCCTGATACACGATACGGGTGTACTCATCTCCACATGGCATGGACACCCAGGAATAGTAACAATCAGCCCAAAGGCAGAGGTGTCGGACCTCGATGTTCAGCCAGGCTTTGGCCATGTTGTCGTTGGGATTGCCCTTTGTATGCCTTTCGGTACAATGCCGGAGATTTGTGTTCCGGCGAGTGGCAGGGGTGACTGCAGGGCTGGTTTTGCAACGGGTATGCCACGTGTGTAGGAAGCGGCTCGGTGGGGCTACAACGCATAACGACAATAGACGAAGCAAGTCTCCTGGCGTCTTTAACGTGTTGCAAGAAGAAAAGAGAGAGAAGAAACGCTCAGGACCGAAATTCAGCGTTGGCTGGGGTAAAGATGCACCATTCCGGTTATGGTGCGTGCCCGTGGTCTAGGCGTCCCACCCGGCCGGCGGCCCATGCCGTGGCTTGTTTCAGTTCCCAGTGTTGAGCCTGGGGCAGCGTGATCGATAGGAGAGCGGCACCAACACGGCCGTGTCGAGAGCTTCAGCTTCAAGCCCACAGTATGGCCGTAACTTTATCATATGTGACTTTATTGGTAGTGGTGACGCATCACATTGCTTCTGACGATCGCGCCGACCTCAATGGAACCCTCATCCTACGATATAGCGAACCTGCTTCTAGCGCCCACTGTAGCGTTCTTTTACTTCACCAATAGCGCAATTTATCCGGGTGATACTCCGGAAGAGCGCAAGCCCCCATGAACGGAGACGTGTTGGTGTGCAGCTTATGGTGCCGCTATTGGGCCACTGCAAGATGATGGCCAGGATGAATGCAGGTCAGCCGTGTTCCGCGCCCGCACACGTCCATAGCAACAAATCAGCAACACACAGCATGACTCCCCGCTATGCCTGCTAACTGGAGTTTGATTCCCGAAAAACCACCAGCACATGTCGCATGGAACGCACAGGCGCAATACCCTGGTTGACACGAGATAGGCGTTGGACCCAGCGCACGCAACGGGAATGGTGCATTACACTGCCATGCTGGGACCGGGCAACTGGGAGGATCCTCGTAGGCTTAACATATCTACGTCGAGGCGCACCGGTCGGGGTTTTTGACCCTGGTTCCAATTACGCCCTTTTCTCGACGACTACGAGTACGACCGCTATGCTGTGAAGTTACGGATTGATTTGACACCACCACGGCGGGGAAGATGAACATCGACAACAAGAATCGCTTTGACATTGTCAACGGCAAGCAGCTCGCGCTGCTGATCGCCCCTCTTATATGCTTTCTCGCAGCAGCCGTTGCTGTAGCGGCAAGATGGTACACTAGGAGTGTTAGGAGGATCAATACTCCTGCTGAGGATGCCTTGATGCTGGCTGGTCTAGTACGAGGACCTTACGAAGTGGCATCGTGCTATGCTGACAACCATAGATCATGAGCTTTGTCGTCGTAACATTGGTCTACATCTTGGTATTCTTAGGTGGCGAAGGCTTGACTAGCGACGAAATCAGAGCGGACCCAACTAAAGACTTCCAAGTCGTTCAGCGATATTGGCTTCGGGTATGTATTCTTCTAGCGGCATTGTCACAATCCAACACTAACCGCAACTGAAGATGCAATTCGCACTCGATATATGCTGGTGTACATCAGTCGCGACCGTTCAAATGGCCTTTGCCCAGTCCTACGTCCGATTATACGAGAAGAAACCCTTCGCCCGGCTCACCTGCTATGTTTCCATGGCGCTCATCACGGTCTGGTACATATGGTCGCTGGTAGGTTGGATCAACATGTGCCATCCACCGGGGAAATGCGAGCTCCAGAGCAAAAAGTCATGTATAATTATCGGATCCTTGCACGTCTTCTTCAACAGCGTTATTCTATTCGTTCCGTTACCGGCCATACTTACAGCGCAAGATCTCACAGCGAAGAAGAAGTGGTCGGTCATGGTTTTGTTTCTGCTAGGATGCTTGTACGCCAAACCTACTCCTCGTACGTACAATTGTTACTAACATTGCTTAGCTGTACCATACTAGCCGTCCTTCGCATAGACTGCGCCATCGATGTATTCGGCAACTACGACAAAGACCCCATTGGCGCATCCTGGTGGCGCATATGCTTTTCTCCCATTGAAGTTGCTGTAGGCATCATCTGCTGCTGTGTCCCCAACGTTCGCTCGCTGCCATCGTGGCGACGTGATCGCCGAACCGCACCCAACGAGGGCACTGGCCTACGAAGACTGAAGTTCCGGACACAGAGCAACGGCTCTTCGACATCAAACCTCAACGAACCATCGCACTGGATGCCATCAGCCGCAAAACCGCAGGTCGCTGCTTTTGTCACGCTGAACGACTCGGATACCCTGGACAGAGTGGGCTCGCTGGGAGCAAACGAAATCAAAGTCACCAAGGAATACGACCTCCATCGACTGTAATTAGAGCGACACCAAATGATTGTATCTTGAAAGAGTAGCTGCATCTTCCCACGTATCATCGCGAAGCAAAATGCACGTGCACGGAATACCTCGCCATCCTGTATCCGATGTCGGCGGTATAGCTGGGACGAAAAGGGAGGGTTGACTGGGAGATGTATCATGACGCATTTGTACGACCCTGTTCGTTGGATAAAATCCGATCCGATGCCGAGGATGGGCAGTCAACACCTCTACTCATCATCATCATCATCATCATCATCACCACCCTCGCCGCCGCCGACGGCATTCATCGAACCCTTCCAGCACACCATGTGGCGCAGAGCGATTCCACCCATCAAACTTCTCGGTCCTCATGAATCTAGCTTCCGTGAACCGGACATATTTTTAGTGGTGACGGCGACACTTTTCGCGGAGGTTCTTTGGGTGTGGATGGAAAAGCGTTGGGTTGAGCGTGAAAAGAACAACCAGAAGAAGATCGCCGCATTCAAGGCGAAGCTAAAGGAGGTTGAAGAAGCCAAAGCGAAGAAGGAGAAGGAAAAGGAACAGAAGTGAATCATTCCGAGTGAGGGAATGCACTGATATAATGTTTACACTGCCCCGAGGACGTAAGTGAGGCGAGCCATCAACACACAGAAGAAGAATATGACGAGGAGAAATAGACTTATCTGGCTCATGCATCAAGCGATTGGAAGCGAGTCAAGCAACAACCATTACACATATTCATAATCCATAATCCATTGTATACTTCACTACCAATCAGGACATGATGATCATCCATGTCTTGATACCCCGTGATATACTTCAGTGTACTCAAACTTTGCGTACGCCCTCCTGATTACCGCACCCAGGCGTCTACATCTCCCCCACATCCCCCCCATCCCAGCGCCAATCACCCCCGTAGGCGCCTTACTCCGCACTCCCCTGGCCTCTCCGTGCCCCGCGCAAACAACGTCTTCCTGCACATCGGGCAGGAATTCTTGTCCTGCAGCCACTCCTGCAGGCACCCCATGCCAAAAACATGGCGACAGGCCTTAATCCTCACACCCGCATGCTCGGGCTCCTTGGCAGCCACGTTTTGGTCGCGGTGTGGTTCTGTCTCCTTCAAGGAGAGGATGTCGAGGGGTTCCTGTCACGGTTTGGTGATGGGACGATGCCTATCTGAGACTAGCGCTGTTTATGGTCACTCACCTACATAAACTTTCCATAGCTTGTACAATACAACCTCAGTCAATCCTCAACTTCTTCCCTATGCGTACGGTTCACCCACTCCAACAGTTATGAGCCCGGCTGCATCCTGATTGTACTCATTTCCCGATTACCGCGTCCCTCATAGCGCACGATTACTAGGCCCCTCATAGCCGCACGATTACCGCGTCCCTCATAGCGCACGATTACTAGGCCCCTCATAGCCGCACGATTACCGCGTCCCTCATAGCGCACGATTACTAGGCCCCTCATAGCCGCACGATTACCCCGCGTCCACCACAGCGCTCGATTACCCCGCGTCCACTATAACGCACGATTACCCCGCGTCCACCACAGCGCTCGATTACCCCGCGTCCACTATAACGCACGATTGCTACGTCTGTTCTACGCACACAATGGCTACAGGATCAGCAGTAACTCGAGTTACTGTTATCCTTAATACACCAGATGACTGGTTCAACTGGATCTTTCTCTGCAGAGACTTCGCGAAGGATCACAAGATCTGGCAATACGTCAATCCAGATACACCAAAGGAGAGTCTGCCTGACCTAGAGGCTGCCAATCCTAAGCCTCAGCTCACCGACTATAAGGCTAGAGCTTCTAAGCTCTCTGATCTATCCACTGAGGATCGTGATTCCTACCGATGGGAGGTTGAACAATGGAGACTCGACGAGATCACGCTGCAGAAACAAGAGAGAGCTCTGGTGCAGCTAAATACAGAGATCACTAGGTCTATCGCCACGCGTCATCTCTACCTAATACAGGATCTCCCTACTGTGTACGATCGACTTGTCGCTCTCAAGAAGCAATTCTGTCCTTCTACAGCCGATCGGAGTCGCGACTTGATAGCAAGATACACCAATCTGAAGACCGCTCCACGCAACCTAAAGAAACTCGATGAATGGATGGCTGACTGGATACACATCACTTCTCAATGCCAATCGATCAACCTACCAGAGACAACTAGCTACAGGCCTCAGGAGGATTTCTTGATTGCCTGCCAAGCTCACTATCCAAACTACGCTGCTACCTGCCTCGATCAGATATACGAACACGAGATAAACGGTACAAATCTACTCAGCTTGCCCGCCTACGTCGAAAAGATGACGAAGTACATCCGCCGAGCTGCCCAGACCACTGCCACTGAGTCAAGTGTGCTATCTACCTCAGCTGCTAAGCTTGGGATTGCAAACCTACCTTGTGTTTGTGGGTTGTCAAACGCTTTACCCGACTGCTGGATACTCAATCCACTTCACCCAGGTCGACCAAAAGACTGGACACCAGCACCTATTGGAGTCCGCAAGGTTGAACAAGCTCAAAAGGATCCTAAGATTTCGAAGCAAATAAAGGACGCCCTAAATGAATGGGCTTCACGTCAACAGTATAGAGACAAGATTCAGGTAGATGACGGCCAACCACCTAGTGGTGGTACATCATTCGTGGTTCATCTGCTGGATACAGGTCAGTTATCACCAACTCACTGACTTGGTGACAACTGGGGGGTGTGTCACGGTTTGGTGATGGGACGATGCCTATCTGAGACTAGCGCTGTTTATGGTCACTCACCTACATAAACTTTCCATAGCTTGTACAATACAACCTCAGTCAATCCTCAACTTCTTCCCTATGCGTACGGTTCACCCACTCCAACAGTTCCTTTGTGCCGGCGAGAACGGCATCGAGGAAGATTTTTTCGGCCTCGCTTAGCGGGGCCGAAGAGGAGGAGGAGGGGGGGGCCTCGAAGGCGAGGTCTTTGAGGCAGATGGTGCAGCTTTCTGGCTCGTTGGCATTCTCGCTGTTGTGGTGGTGTTGGAGGACGGGGGCGAGGCCGGTCTTCATGAAGTGGGCTTTGGTTCCCCAGGCAGACATGTTTGTGTGTGTGTATGTTTTGTGGTTAAAGGGGTGTTAAAGTGTGATCAGGATGTAGTAAAGAGGTTGCTTTGAATGTACCTTTGGTGTAGTGTGAAGGTAGTTTAGAGTATACTCTTTGTCGTATCGGTTGTGGTTGTGGTGGTTCTTGCTGTTGTGGAAGTCGTTCTTGGTATCTGACTGTGCAAGATGAGAATGTATGAATCAAGGAGAGAAGGGCAGGACTGAGCGTCTTTTATGAGAGGAACGCACGGATTGCGATCTCAAGTTCTACCGCGCTTTGTAAAGGCGCGCTGCTGGATTTTGATACTGTAATACATGATATCATATTACCGTATGAAGTTCTACACACCAGTGAAACCATCCAGGGCCCATCTTTTACGTATCCACCACGTACACAACGATAGGTCAGTGTGTAAGCAAAATGTGGTATACAAGTCTAGTGCGTTATAAGTGTCCACTTTATCCTTTGTAATTCTGGTCTAGTAGTAAAATATATGACTGTAGTTGTAAGAAATAGAGGGTGAGGGATTATATGATTGATTGAATGAGTGGATCTCTTGTAAGGAGAATACTTAAATACATCATTAAGCTTGCTTCTACGCTTGCTGACAATAAGTTTTGCATGAAATGAAAGGATCAAACCCATGGTAATCCCGCTCATCCCATCGTTCATCATCGCGAGACTGGATAGATTCCTGAGCCAAGTGCTACACAGCCTCATCGCCCTACCCGAAGCCCATACTAGAGAGCAGGAGGCATAGTGACTTGCTCTAAGGCTAACTACCGACAGCTTTATTAACGATAGCCTTACACAGCTGTGTTGCAATAGCCGGACCACTTGCCAATCTGGCCGCCGCGGTTTTTGGTGTTCCATTGGCCCGCGTTACCGCGCTGGCAGACTGTGTCCCACGTAGCGGGGTCGGTAGACGCACGACCGTCGAACTTGCATTGAAATCGGGCTTGTCCGTGGAAGTTCACATTGTCCCGCATGGAGCCTACTATACTTTAGCAATCATTTTTATGCAGATACATCTGCCTATTTACTTACCCCCCAGCCCATTGCAAACCGCTGTAGTCCAGTCTTGTTCAGCACCGTAAGTTGCCTGCTATATATTAGTCTCTTGTCTTTTTATTCCGGGCCTCAAAACATACATCTTTACAGATACAACCGTAAATGGCTAGGGCACCATCACCAAGCGCTAATAAAACAGCTGGCACAAGTAGAGAGAACCGCATATTAGTCTGTCTAGTGTACGTATTGGAAAGTTGGGAGTATCTTGGTAGTAATGTCTTGATCTTGGTTGATATCTTATGGAAAATAAATCAAGTCTATCACGGTGTTGCGAAGCGACTTTATAGGAAAAACAAGAGGGGCTGACCGTTATTCAGACTTTTCCGCCCAGAAAAGGGATATTGCACACGGTCCTTGCTTTAGTCCAGGACATGATTAGGTCTTCTCTTACCTCATTTGAGTCTTGGTAGTTTTTCTTGGCGCCGAGAGTTTCGTAATCATACTGGTGCTATTGTGGACTAGTCAACGTCTATAGTGTTACTTGGCTAGCGTGGCATGCTGACCGCGCCATACAAAGCGTAAGACAAAGTTCAGGTAAGTAAAGCGGCCATGTGTCATGGAACTAAAGATGGGTAGGCGACTTTTTATACCTAGGTATGATGAGGCTGTGGCCTTCGGCCCTTCGCTACCACACGACTGTATTGTCTCTTTAGGCTCCCTTACTCCTCCAGTCTACAAAACCTAACTAGATAGACTCCCATCCTTTTCTAGCGACCCTACACACCCCTTTCCCTCCCGAGGTCGTTTAATTCCGTTACCCACTACTACTACTACTACTACTACTACTACTACTACTACTACTACTACTACTACTACTACTACTACTACTACTACTACTACTACTAAGTCTATTTCCAGCCCGAACTGATCTTAAAGTGAGCATGCAGGCTATCCTATTTCCCCTAAGGGGACTGTGTTGGGATAATAAGAAACTTTGGTTGTAGTGGAGTAATACTAGGCTGCCTCGTTCGCTACTATGAAGCTCATCTGGACACATTAAACGCAATTAATGAGGTACTATACGTGTCATCAGCCTTTACACATTTCGCTTTTTTCGGTACTTGAATTGTAAGGGTCCGCCAAAATGACCCTGAAAACATCGTTTAACTGGGTCGAAAGTGGGGCTTTTTTCAAATATTCCATCCTCCACGCAACCATGAAAATCTGGAGATGTAATCGGCCATGCTGCGACACATGCATAGAGGATATTCTTCGTGAGTGATGTACTATAGGTCTTCCTGACCGGTACATGAACCCAAGTAGCTGCGGCAATCTTCCACTAACGCCCAGGTTGCCGGGTCACAAGGACTGGCCAGCACCCAAACTTTGAAAGAAGACACATGTGGCAGTAGTTGTTACCAACCCCGCGATCATGTCATATGTGTAAAATTTCTACGTCTATTTTTGGGGTTTGTGTCGTTCACCCAAGGTGGGTTGCACGACTTCGGGAGAGTGGATGGGAGATTTTGGCTGCGCTAACCGTGTTGCGCACATCCACATACTATGTTTCTCACTGTGTCTGTTCCAGTCCAAACTAATCTCAAACATGAACATATCTAAGTAGTGTGTGACAAAACCACAGGGGATGCGAATTTGGCTTAGGGGTACCTAGGTACGGCTGCAGGGTTTTGTCACGCGCAGGTTCGACGAAAGACACCTTTACCCAGCTTGCAGAGGAATTGCTCGTCACAGGCTGCGGAGACATTGCCATAGGTAGATATGTGGCACGATATGTGAGTTGGCCCGTGGACGTGTGCTAGATTACCTAGGTACACAGATATCGTCCGAACAGACAGTCCTCCTTCCGAAAAGCCTTCTCCCATCCCAAAGTGGCAGCCAGAACAAAGAACGAGCCATCGATGACCCTCATTGATAACCGATTTGAGAATACGACTGTCTTTTTGACCTGCATTGAGGATGATTACCAACGTTATGCAGCCAACAAGTTGGCGCTCATTCACATGAACCAGCTCCAAGGCAAATGACTAGTGGCAGTTGCCAGACTATTGGGGCATGTTACATGTCTTGTTCATGTGAGCGTCTACAGATATTACTAAACTATAACTAAGAAGAGTTACTGTTGTCCGCGCATGAAAAAGCCGAATCGATCAGACCATTGGCGTACGCATCGTTGATCTGCACAATAACGCCATACGTCCCGCCGATCGTAAGGAAGATGGAGATACCAATAAGGATAACATGCAGCCCATACATGATCTTCTGCCACCAGTTGCCCTTCCAGTAATCTTTGTGGTCGTAAATCCAAAGCCAGCCAGGAAAACCAAGGGCCAACGGAGCAAACGCAATACTTCCTGCCAGACTCAACAAATAGTTGAAGATGGGCACTCCCGAGGCGATCAAAAAGCTCACAAGCGTTGTGGCGGCCACAGTGCCGAGCCAGGTTCCCCAGTGTACAAATGTGTTGGCCTGGAGATGTCTCGACTTGCGCAGAATCCGGACAAAGATGTATTTCGCGCTAACGTGCACATATAGCGCGCCACTGACACACAATCCGATGATTCCTATACCATACGCGATCTTTTTGACGGTGGGACCAGCGCTTCCGAGAGAAGGGGAAGCAACCCACTTGCCGCACCATTTGTACACGACAAGACTGAAGGAGAGATACGCAGCAGTCACGATGCCCATGCACCAGTTTACAGCTTTGCTGAAGTCGCGGGGGTTCCGCATCTCAGACATAACGGGTAGGAAAGCTGATGTACCGGCTCCGGAGCAGAAGATGGTACTTGCTGCGGTGATACCAGCGGCGAATGTCGGGTGGCCGATGACATGGTAGCCAAAGTCGTAAGGGCCAGTTTGCGGTGCAGCGGCTGGGCGGTCGCGCTGAGTTACTCCAACACTAATTTAGAGTCAGTAAATTGTCACTCTTCCACCCCAAGTACCCCCGGCACCAAACAAGATCGAGCAAAATTGCATTCCACAACTTACACAACAATGAACACGGCGATGAAAACCGACGCGAATCCCGCCCATGTAATCCAAGCGATCTTCTCAAACTTGCGCACGCTAGCGCATAATCCAACCGTCAGTGCCGCGATGATGGAAAAGTAATTTGTGCATAGCGAGTGGTTGGATAACGCGTTTAGTGCTGTTGATACGCCGACTATGCCCGAGGCGGCAACGATGACGAAGGCGACGAGGAAGAGAATGCCGGTTATCTCTTTGACGATGCGGCCGCCGACTAATTGGCCCATGTCGGCGATGGAGTGGCAACCGGGGTGGTTGTTTCGGAATTGGCCTTGGACGAGAGCACACCAGGTATTCAGACCTTGCCAGCCCAGGACATTGATCGCACCAGGGAAAGAACCGAGCGTGTACATGGCAGATGGAATGGTGAGAACACCCGTTGCGAAGATGACTGTATCGCCGCACGACCATTAGTATGAGGTCGTATACATATGAAACAGTTCGCCAGAGCCGGTTTTGCAAAAAGAAACTTACGCTTCAGCAAAATAACAGTCGTCTGGACCCATGACACGGTTCTAAAATCCTCAATCCCCTCTCCTCTCTTGAAAATCTCGCCGTCGTCTATAATTCCCGCTTTCTCATCTCGGATGCTGGATGTGCTGCTGTGCGCTGCCGCGGGGGAAATGATGTCGTCATTCTTCTCGTCGGCCATGGTTGTAGTTGCAGGAGGAATCCCTGGATAAAGGCAACGTCGCGAAAAGCAAGGCTACTGAGCTGGAACCCTACTCACACCACAAAGGGGCTGTCGAGGATGGGTATGTGGGAAAGCAGGTACTCAAAAGACGCCCGGGTATCTCCAACGTCGACTATATATGTACGACGTATCGACTCCTACAGACTACCGTGATAACGATAGGTAGGTACGTAGTGATAACAACACCCGTGGAGTCGCTCGGTCGCTCGGTCATCACGCATTTATCCATGGACATGCGCGCGCGCTTGGCAAGCAACTCTACTGATAACCAACCGGGCAAGTCTCGCGTGGCGGCTGTCAAGCTACGTCGCCCGGGGGCAACACTAGGGAGCTAGTACAGTATCGGGGTTTATCATGATGATCCGGGGTAACTAAGGAGTAGTTATGCCCGCCGGCCCGATTCTTTTTGGAGGGCGCGCCGTTGGCCCCTTGATGTGCACCCGCTACGTTGCGCGAGATAGGAGTGGGTGAGTTCGAAGCTACTTACTCCAAGAGAAGCAGGTATGGCGGGGTGGTTTGGTGTAATAATGATTGGGGAGTTTTGGATACATGGGGAGTTTGGTCTGGGTTCTCCAAGCTGGAAGGGAGTCTACGGATAGTGGAGTAGGAGGGAGATATCGTGAGTCTCTTTCGTGGATGCTTCAGAAATTGTGGGAAGGTTGGAGTTGGAGTATGGGTCCAAGGGGTGCTCCGGACTTTCGGGAGTTGAAGTTGTGGATGGTGGGGACGAGTTTAGTGCGCGATGAGCAATGACAAGTAACGGTAGAGTGGGGCTCGGCTTTTGGCGTGGGTTTGTGACGCGAGTTTTGGATGGATCTGCTTTAGCGTTGGGCATTTGACATTAGATGCGTGCGATTTACGCTTTCAAATGACCATCTACCAATTAGAGAAATACGCTGCAAAAAAGGCGTGCTTTGTACGTTGTGGACGAAAAGAAAATGGTTTCAGTATCTATAGCTACTTCTTCAACTTCAAACCCGCTTCAGCTGGCATTAGTGCCCCTGGTGCAGGAGAGTTCTTCTTCTTGAACTCATCTGCCATTTCCTCCATGGTTACAAACTCCACGCCTTCGTGCTTCTTGAAGTGCTCGATCAATCTCTCATGCATGAGCAATAGATGTGGACGCCCAGATACATCTGGATGGATTGTGATAGGCTATCGCATGAAGTCAGCGGGGAATCTGGTACAGAATTGGTGACTTACGAAGATGAATTCATCGTATTCCCTGTAAAAATAGTCGAAATGATCGCGCCATAGGTCTTCCGTGTCACGCGCATTGACAAACCCATGGCTATTTGCCGAGGCCTTGATGAACATGTGCGGTGGTAGATCCTGGCAAATTGAGTTAGGGAAATGTATATAGATGATCAGGACTATGCTTACATCCAGGTACCAGTTGGCGGGTATCTCGACTAGGCCAGTATCTTGACCTGCAACCAGCGGCTTCATCCACTCCTTGGCTTGCTTCTTGTAGTCAATCTTGGTCCAAGAATCGCCTGTCCTCAGATAATATGCCTGACAGTCGTGATGGCTCATACTGTGGTCATACTCAATGCCGTATGAGAGTAGCAACTCTGCCCCTTCACGGCTCGTTTCCCACCTAAAAAGTTGGTCAGCGACGCATCAACCAGCATCACCTTGAGACATACCAGGGTGCAACGCTCCCCCTTGGCGGCTTTCCAGCAAACTCTGTTAGCATGCGATATGTCTTATCAAGGACATCTCTTTGCTGTTCAATCGTCATGTCGACTGGGTTCTCGTGACTATAGCCATGCAACCCTATCTCATGCCCGGCGTCGCGAACTGCCGCCATGTCTTCTGGAAATGTCTCCAAACTGTGGCCTGGAATGAACCATGTCGTCTTGATGTCGTATTTCTTGAAAAGCTTCAACAAGCGCTGCGTGCCAACTGTGCCCGCGAAAAGACCTCGACTAATGTCGTTGGTACTGTCTTCTCCGCCATAAGAGCCCAGCCATCCGCACACTGCATCCACATCGACACCGTACGAGATGAGAACGCGCTTCTTGCCCATGGTCACTTGAGCTGGTATTCGTAGATCAATGCACTTCAATGATTCAAGAACAAGCTGTCAATCCAGTCGAGAGTAAGAGGTACCTCCGCCCCGAATGGCTCATCCAGCATCATTTTATCACTATGATAGCCTAACGCCTAACCCTAGATTCAGTCGCGGGGTAATCAGCAAATAGAATAGTACTGGAGCCCGACAACTCGTCATGAGGTTGAGGTGCAGGGCTGCCCTTGTACCCGACAGCTGTACCCCCGCTTGTTCCCTCCATCATAACTTCCGAGCCGCTCCGAACTCCAAATCTCCAAAACCACCGAGTACGGGTTTTACGGCCGACAACGTCCAAATTGCGACTTGGTGATGGAGATCGTGGTACATGCCGCAATATTGCACCTCGTTTTTCCAGGCTGGTGGGCCGTTGACCAAGTCGATCATGCCCAGCAGATGCGAGCAGTGCGGATCGTAGCGCTACGATGACGTCACCCTAGATGTATGGAAGCCACTGGTGGAAGCCGTATGGAAAACATTTGCCGTTAGATACAATACGCTCCAAAACTTATTCTATGATGCGGCGAATCGACTAAAGAAAGCATGTATGACGATCTAGCCAAATTGGCTGTGTCACTGCAAGAGCAGTCGTAGTTTTGAAGCACGATAATGCCTTCGCCAGATTTGTGCTAGCCAGCTTCAACATCACAATGAATCTCTTGGATGGAGCCCCACTTTCGCAAGAAGGACCATTAATTTCTAGTGGCACGGTAATTATCATCGCCCTCTGAGACTGCATCCGAAACGTACTTGTCAACAGCATCTAGACATCCTTAGTAGATGACACTTGGTTTAGAAGCCACCTGGCATACTCGATAACGCTTAGCGGTGCTGGGAGTTGCGGTGTGAAGTAATTTAGACTCCAACATGCGATATATTGAGAAGAACGGTGAGATTTTGAGTTGAACCACCGCTAGTTTGTAATTGATCTACATTCAGCGACAACAACAAAAAGGATACTTAGCATCTAGACAGCGGAGGAATCATGGCGCTAGTTGGAGTACATATGGCGAGACACCCAAAAACCTTATTTGAACCCCATTGAAGCCTTTGAATTACCGACCAGAGGTTACTTGTCGTTAATGTGGATATGGTGGAGCCTGTGGGTGTGCCGAGAATGCACGAGAGTCATCAGCACCATCCTGTTCCATCTGACGTTGGATTTTAACGAGCTCGCTAGCCCCTACGAAAGTTAGTAAACTGCCGACTAGTCATAAAGGTCGCGCAATGATCCGACTCCCGTGTAAACTAATGGAGGTACGCGTCTTGGCGAGTCGAGTTCGTTACAAATTGGGGTCAGTTGGAGACACCATTGTACCATAGCACAGGCTATCGTACTGTTAGCGGACATCCGCGTCCTCGGCCTCGGAAATGCGCGATTGGTTGTATTGTACGTAAAAACGACCCATCCACGTGAAAATGTTCAATGCGCCACAGCACGAGTAGAGGTTCAAAAGTCGCTACTTCGGTATCAGCATCTTCCAAACGACATTGCTTTGCAAGCGGTGTATTCTTTTCAACATGTCCGTCTTCTTCGACTCACCGATCAGGTTCGTGTTCAAAACTCTGTTCACTCGAAAATCCCAGTTGCTAACCAAGCGTAAAGTGACGATCTTGTGGCTATTGGCGATGCCGAATCTGTCTTGACAAGCATTGGCATCACAAACGGCATACCGCAAAACGAATCGCGAGACTATCATCAACTACTGGCCGCTGTTCACGACGTTGCAGAGCATATACTGCAATTGCCCGACTATGTATCACGTGTCGACACCGAAACATACCCACGAGAAAATCTACACAGGCCATCGGAAGACGAACAGGACTATGGTCATGCGTGGGCTCACAAATTCCTCATACGCGGCAACCCAGAGGGCGAGCTGTTGCGAGGAAAGACTATAAGCTTGAAGGATAATATCGCAGTCGCCAGAGTCCCTCAATTCTTCGGGACTGATGCCATTCCAGCATGGACTCCTGACTCTGATGCCACCGTGGTCCAACGTGCATTAATAGCTGGAGCCGACATCGTAGGAACTACAATATGCGAAAACTTCTGCAACTCGACCTCGTCCTTTACTTCCGCTCAGGGAACAGTCCACAATCCATATGCGAGAGGCTACTCGGCCGGTGGCAGCACATCCGGCGGCTGTGCGGTAGTCGGTGGTGGTCTTGTCGACATCACAATCGGCGCTGATCAGGGTGGAAGTATACGTGTTCCGTCGTCATTCTGTGGCTGTAAGTAGTCACCCCATCACATGTTATGCTCTCTTCTATATCGGCGAGCTAACATGATATAACATAGGCGTAGGATTGAAGCCAACCCACGGTCTGGTCCCTTATACTGGTATATCTAGTGGCGATGCTATCAGTGATCATTGCGGGCCCATTGCAAGATCCGTCACCGACGTAGCTCTATGTCTGGATGCGATTGGGGGGAGAGACGACTACGACGACCGGACCCTTGGTGCTCCAGTACATGGCTCCATGCAATACACGAAGCACCTAAGAGACTCAGCTGCTGGATTGAAGATTGGTGTTCTCAAAGAGGGCTTTGATCATCGACTGGTGGACCCAGAAGTTAGGGAAACCGTCCGAAAAGCCGTCAAGTCGTTCGAGCTACTCGGTGCTACTGTCGAAGAAGTTTCTCTACCTCTGCATCTGGAAGGGCCTGCTATTTGGACCATTCAGCAACGCATCGCAGGCACTTTTAACATGCTAGGATACGCACATGGACGAAGGGGTCTGTTCTCAACAGCCTACGAAGCAGTACGTCAACCTTGGACGAACGACACGTTCCAGAAGCTCTTCCCATCCACCAAGAACACTATGATCAACGGCCTTTCGCTCATGCAAAACTATCCTGGACTCTACGCAAAGACGATGAATATTGCACAACAGCTCCGCGACTCGTACGAAAAACTATTCCAAGAATACGATCTCATCGTCATGCCAACGACGCCATTCGTGGCACCGCCGAATATAGACTGGAAGCAGGGAGACTCGCCCATAGACGCCTTGAAACCGAGCATGGGAATAACCATCAACACTGCTATATTTGATGTGACCGGCCATCCAGCAATGTCACTGCCTGTGGGATTTGCCCCTTCCAATGTGGATTCTAGTGTCAAGCTGCCAGTAGGGATGCAGATTGTGGCAGGCCTGTGGCAGGAGCAGAAGATACTAGATGCAGCTTTCGCATGGGAATTGGCAAACGATTGGAAAGAGATTGGCGTGTCGAAGGAGCAAGGAGCGAAGCATGCGACTAAACTTTGATAGATATCATCTGAGCACTCTGATTGACGATGGATTGTACGTATAGATGCGTAAAACCGCGGAACTATATAGAACCAAGCTTAGTTGATCGTATAACCACCATCTACTACCAGTGCATGACCCTGAATGAAGGATGACTGTGCGGAGCACAGAAACAAAACGGCGTCTGCGACTTCATCCGGTGTACCCATCCTTTTCATTGGTGCGATCTGGATGGCCGGCTTCAAAGCTTCCACCATGGCTGGCGAGGTGGTAGTCATGGGTGTTTCGATGACACCAGGGCAGACACAGTTGACGCGTATTCCATCATCAGAGTAGTCGATGGCATTCGCTCGCGTCATGTTGATGATGGCAGCTTTGGAGGCACAATATGCGGCTATGTGCTTGCATCAGTGACCAATATCTGACGGTGTGATAACGCGGTGAACTTACCAGCACCTGGCCTTGCTACAATGCCGAGCTGGCTTGCAATGTTGACAATGGCGCCTCTCTGCTTTGGGTGCTCCTTGAGCGGCTCCTGCTTCAGCATGTTTCTTAGTTGTGCACGACAGCTGAGCCATGAGCCCCTGTAATTGATGTTATTCAGCCGATCAAAGTGCTCAGTCGTCATCTCCACGGCCTTGATGACGTCGCCTCCAAGGATGCCCGCGCAGTTGACGCCATAGTCAAGTCGATGGAACTGGTCGAAAACCTCGTTCATGAACGAATCGACAAAGCTTTCATCAGCAATGTCCCCCACGCGAACAATGATTTCAGCAGACGGATTGATAGCAAGGAGTGCTGCTTTTGTTTGATTGAGAGTGTCTGGGTTGATGTCGGTGATGGCAATTTGCACACAGCCAGAGCGCACGAAGCCCTTACAGACAGCGGCACCAATGCCTAAGGCCGATGAGAAGATTGTTGATACAGGTATATTTGACTTGACCTACCCGTTCCTCCTGCACCCGTCACAACGGCTACACCAGGAAGCGACGCCATGTTATCACCACGTGATACCGCAACACGTGTTCTCGTGGTTGGCACGTGATTTCCACGTGAAAATCGTCGCTTGGCTCGCACGTGTTGAATCTGCGGATGCGCAAATATCGTTCAAGACGGGCCGTAATGGATGCCAAAGAGGGTTAGATGGTGGAAGGTGCGTCAAATTGAACCGAGATGGGCGTCGTTGCTAGGTATGCATCATCCTTTTAGTTGATATCACTACCGGAAGCACGCGGATGATGATACTCAACATGAGCGTTGCCGGGGATTTTGCCATTTCGAACAGTTCGAGCTGGGATAGATAGAGAGTAGTGGAGACCGGAGACCACTATCTTGGAGTAGCCGTTGGCGCCCTGAAGTGCTTGGAGTAGGCCTTCCTTGCAGGCTGCTTGGAGTAAGCGCTATCTTCCCCGCATTCATGATTGGCCAAGCCGCCGAAGGCAAAATGAGCCAAACCATGGCATAAGACCCACCGACCGCGCTCCAACTCACCTCCAACAAACCTCATCCACATGCACAGACTCGCCCACACATGTACCTATTGCTCAAGGAGCTTCAAGCGAGCAGAACACCTGACACGCCACCTCCGAACGCGTTTGTGCCTCCAACTGAGCGGCCCAATTGAGGACAATGTCATAGCTGATACATGGTGTAGATACTAGAGAAAAGCCGTACTCGTGTCGATGCGGTGCAGCTTTTACGCGACGGGACCTGCTTACCAGGCATTGGCGTATCACTCATCATGCCGGAAATGCCGGTGTGACAGAGTCAACATCGTCAACTGAGACCGCGACAACTTTAGACGCGCCACAGCAGCAGGATCCGTCCCATGTGCATCCCGTTCCTGCAAGTCGGTTGAGCGTATCGGATGCAAGTGTTACACACGCCCATCTTGTCCCGCAGGTACACTCAGGCCAGCTTGAATTGCACGATCCCGCTCCCGTCTTTCAGGACCCCCAAGCACATATAATTACTCAAGGTGTGTATGATACCAAAGCTGAAACATTACGCGTTGGCCGGCTTGCTGACGACGATCTAGAGTTACAACAAGCGCCACCGCCATATAATGATGAAGGGTTCGAGGACTTTCGCGACTTTGTAAACTTTATTGACGGTGTAGGCCTCTCAGCCCAATGGACGCCGGAGTACGATTTTGACTGGATGCGGATTGGTGAGCACCAGCAAGAATCCCGGAGACATTCCCGCGAACCAGAAACCGCGCCGTCTCCGGGCCCCGAAGATATTGGTACACCCTTCAGTACCTGGTTACCCTCAGCTCCAGCCGATGATCAAGTACATCTGAGGTCGCATGCAGAGGATGGTAAGATGATCACCTTCTTGTTAATTTCCTGGCTGTTTTTGCTGACTGTTGCCAGAGCTCTGTGACAAAAGAAGCAGAAATGGGACGTATCACGTCTCTGACGATCACCGCAACTTTCTGGTGTCGTTGCTCGAATGTTTTCCTTCCCCTATATCCGATTTTGAGATTCCATCACGACATACCCTGACGCGGTATATTACTGCTTTCTTTGGCGGCTTCCACTCCCATTTTCCATTCATACATTTCCCGACTTATAAACCATCATGTTCGCCATTGGAACTTACTTTAGCCATGTGTGCAGCTGGCGCACAGTATTGCTTCGAGCGGAGAAGCTCAGAACGCCTGTTTCGGGTTTCCAAGGCCATTGTGTTCGAACGCCTGCGGCAGGAGGAGTCACACTTTGGTCCACAAACCCTCGCCTTTATTGCCTCAAGGAACGTTGTCTCACCTGTCTCAGCACCTTCAACAAGACGATCGGGTCCCTGGGCTCCTCTTGACATGGCCAAGACGCTACTAATATTGGTGGGATACGCCACGTGGGAGAGAAAAGACTTGCTGCAGCAGGCTTTTGCACTGAGAGGCCTATTGGTACAGACACTTCGGGACATTGGCCTTGAAGAAGAAAAGCCCGACTTGAATGGGTCGACATCAAGAGCAGCTATGTGGGACCATTGGGTACAACGTGAATCTGCCAGACGCACAAAGCTTGTGTCCTTTGCCTACATCAATGTACACAGCATTACGTACAACATTCATCCTCTACTATGGAGCAGCGAACTACACTTACGGCTTCCCTGTCTCTCGCAAGAGTGGCAGGCCAGCAGCGCCGCACAATGGGTCACACTACAACGTGATACTAAGGAAGAGCAAATGCCCTTTCAGCAAGCATTGTCAATACTGCTTCAAGGGACGGCAAATCAAGGTGTGTGAGGCAGTTTCTGGGCCATTCTGAGCATGAGCTGACAGTCTCACAGAGCTTGTACATCCTATACCAAGCCCCATTGGAAACTACATTCTCCTGCACGCGCTGCTACAGCGAATCTATGTGGTTCGAGAATTGTCATTCCCTGCCACGTCACCCGCGACGATTTCGGACGCGGAAATGCAAGTCATCAGTCGCGCTCTTCGCGCATGGACGTCGCTTTGGCAGCAAACACCCGAATCGATGCTCGACCCTAACAACGAGAGTGGACCCATCCCGTTCACGTCAAGTGCGCTCCTAGTCGTAGCTTACGTACGCCTTTCGCTCAACATAGGACCATATCGTCACTTGGAGTCACGTGACACGGATGTGATTGCAAATGGCCTCAGGCAAGTTCCAGACATTGAGCGAAACGATAACCTCCTGCCGGCCCTACTCTATTCAACACATGCACTGAGTATACCCGTCAGGCTTGGGATCGACAGGGTTGCGCGTAGCCAAGCCTTTTTCTGGAGCGTTCAACACGCGATATCGAGCTTTGAATGCGCTATATTTCTGGGCAAGTGGCTATGCTCTGTTGCCAGGCCATCACGAGAAGACACACTGTCACGTTCAGAGCATCGCATTCTCCACTGGGTTCGATGCATTATCAAAGAAGCGTATGCGGTAATTGATTTTGATGAGCCCGAGGTGCGTGATGGCACTCTGAGTGTTCCGAGTGAGCCATTTGCGCTCGGTCTCGCAGTCTTGAATATCTGGTCTCGATTCTTTCGCGGGAATACGCAGTGGCAATTTGTTGTTAATCTAGGGTTGAGTCTGGAGAAATATATCCGGACGCTTGTGTAGTTATTGTAGACAATGATTCGCATACACTTCCTGGTCATTCTTGATAGCCACTGAGTTTGGAACAATCGTGCTTTCCGGTAACCGCGTTACTCTGGCGTATCTGTCGTTCTTCTACTGCCAATCACACACACCGCTGCTAATCTGTCATAATATTAACAAATACAACCCAAGGAAGCACAAGTTCTGTTAGGTGACGATTTCAAAGTCGATCCCTGTCGTCGTTTGTTATCGTTTGGAAGCGGTGGTTTTAGGTCGCTGTCCCGATGCGGTTGACCGTACCATATTACCATTTTCTTCACACGCATATTGGAACTGTAAGTCATTGGGGAGTATATCTAAGGAAGCAAACTAAGGACAGCATGAAAAGAGATGCGGTACTTCAGTTTCTTATGGATATTAACTTCGCCGATGATGAATGGATGATGGATACCTATATATTCAATTTAGCGCACAATGTTCAGTATATCAACAAATTCGTACAACATAAAGATCTAGATGCTTCTACACGCCACAGATTTATCTTTCTCCCGGTTTCACAGGTCTCATAGGGAGAGTTTTCTTGTCTAGATGATTCGACAACCCGCTTTGACCTCTGCGTTCACTCTTCCAATGCAATTCACTATCCGATGAAAAGCTTTGACCAATATTGTAAGTAACGCCTCTCATGGATAAGTAGCACAGTTCGTCTGTCCTAATTACTTGGATCCAGAACTACGACTTCACACACTCAACTACTACCCCAAAACTGTCTGTGAAATCTTACCAAGACCAACGATTCATACAAAAGGAAGCCATGTGTTCTCGCATTGTAGACCATCCAGGAGGTATGTAAAGACGATTATCGGCCCTGTGACCTTTTTAGAGCGCTAACGAGGATCTAGCCATGCAAAACAAGACTTATGAGTTTGTACTTGTCAATAATCAGCACAAGAACTGCAAAACTGTGCAAAAGTCCATTGCCCCTATCGCTAAAATACAACAGCCACTCCCAGAAGTGAATACTACCGCCGTCATCATTCCAATGAGCAAGACGGCGCAGAAAAATGCGCGTAGGAATGACAACTTGACCGCAGTCAACAACAAGAACCAACTGTTCCGCGCCGAGTTTGGTACTATGCAGTACTGTCACCTGCATGTCTACGTCTACATTAACGCGTTTGAAGATTACTATCGAGACTTCTTCAATGGATCCAATCATCTTGGAGTGGGATATCATCCTGCCAAGCTAACGATCATTTTCAGCGATCATCATGACCCACGCGCGTTCAACGTCATTCTGTTGATGGAGTTCTTGAAGCGCACTCCTGCCATGAAATTCGATGTTTACACTCTGGATATCAACGGCAAGGTCCGTGAAGAGGATAAAGGGAAATACGACATCGTCTTCGGGCCTCTGCGTTTCCATATAACGACCAAACTCGCGGGTAAGGTTGATCGCGTCAGCTTTGGACGATTTAATGGAAAGTACCATAATCAGAATGGTGCTTTCACTCTGCTACATATACATATCAAGCCGGAATATGCAGAGGATTGGATGGACGACAGTAAAAATGGGGGAAACCGGCATTGGGCGGGAAGTGAATGGAACCAAGGGAAACGTGTTCGTCCTAGGTCATTTCCGGCGTGGCAGGAACGCCAGAACAAAACTCGAGAATGGCTTGATAATGCGGGGGTGAACGATGGTCTAATGGGGTGGAACGTCAAAGTTCAAACATCTGCTTAAATCGCTTTCTCTCCGCTTAGGGAGTTCTGTTAGGTGACGATATCATAGTCGTTCCCTATCATCGTTTGGTATCGTTTGGGAGCAGTGGTTTGGGAGGAGATTGTTAATGTCTTATAGTGCCCAATGAATGAATTGGTGACACCGGGACAAACTGCAGGTAGCCCCAAATTTCAAATGTACATCAAGCACCTTTCCAGGTGATAACGCTTTGGGTTGTCGACTTAAGCGGTGGCTGAGACTGGTGTGGGATCACAGCTCTGAGTACGACGATAGTAGTTTTAGTCATACATAACAGATTGCATACTTTTGGACTTTCATAGAAGCCAAATGGTGAAAGTATCCTAGCAAACCAGTTGAACAGTCGGTCCAGTCAGTGGCAGTCACTGACTAAACAGAGGCCCTGATGTCGTCGAGCTCAGTACAGCATGTTGACTCGCGCTGCAGCTTAGTTCTGGTAATCCCAAAGGATACTAACAGCCCAAGTGCGCCGATCACCGTATACAATATCCACGTCCCCTTCAGCGCAGCCATGAAAGCATAGCGCACCGCAAATCTTTGCCCCTCTGTAAGTGCACTGACATCAACACCTTGAGATATAGCTTGACCTCCAGCAAGAGCATGAGCGTAATCGCTCGCAATGCCGCTGTCAACAAATGACTGAAAGTGCGATGCCATCAAGAGTTGAAAGACCACCTGACCAGCGACGAGACCGATTGCGCCTGAGATCATACGCACAAACCCAAAGGCGGCAGTACCAGTCGCGATATCCGTCTCTTGAATGCGTGTTTGCAAGGCAATAAGCGGAGCACCGAAATTAGGGCCAAATCCAAGGCCGATAACAAGCAGAACGCCGACGATTTTTCCAATATGGAGCGACATGTCCAGGGAGATGAGCAGACCGACACCGAGCGTCGTGAGCAACAGCCCTGCCTGGATTATCTCGAGAAACCGCCCAGTCTTCTCAATGACATGACCGGAAGCAAAAGAAACCAAGGCTAGCGGTATTGCGATAGCGAGCATGTAAACTCCAGCGATAGTAGGGCTACGCTGGAGGACGATCTGGAAGTATAGCGGGAGGAAGTATGCCACTGAGTTGAAGACAAGTGCGTCGCACGCACATACACCCAACGCACTCAGGTTGCTGACATCCTTGAAAAGTCGCAGCGGCATAATAGGAGTCCCACCACGCTTATCCTCCCACCACTGCGAAAACGGGAACGCAAGATACGCCACCGATCCGAAGACGAGGCACATGATGACTGAAGGGTTCGCGAACGAGCTAGCGCCACCAGATTGGAGACCGACGAGCAGGAGTATAGTAGCGATGACGATAGTAGCCGTACCAAGCCAATCGATAGACGCAAGACCCTTTACGACCGGCGTCCTGGGATTGTGAAGTCGTAGCGTAAAGTGCAGGACAGCAATAGAGGCGGAAACAATGGGTATGTTGATGTAGAACATCCAGCGCCAGTCGAGTTGTTGTGCAAACACACCACCGAGAACGGGGCCAAGGGCACTGGCAACCGCCCAAACTGCACCGATGGTACCCATGTAGAAAGAGCGATCTCGGACGCGGAACATGTCGCTGACGCAAACGTTGACCAGCACCACGATACCGCCACCACCGAGGCCTTGGACAGCTCTTCCTGTCACGAGCATGGCGGCGTTCACGCTGACGGCGCTTATGATGCTTCCGAGCAGGAATGTGATGTTTGCAGCTTGGATGACGGGCTTCCTGCCAAAGACATCGGAGAGCTTGCCCCAGAAGGGTACGGATGCGGCGTTGGCGAGGAGGTAGGCGGATCCTGTCCAGGCGTAGAGGGAGTCTGGGATGTGGAAGGTTTGGGAGATGGTTAGTAAGGCGGTGGGTATGAGGACTGTGTCGAGTGCCACGAGGAAGATGGAGAGACTTAGGGCTGTGAAAGCTGCTAGCGTTTGGAATGGTATGCGAATTCGGTGTTTCGATAGGGCTTCGCTAGCAAGAGAAGTGCCAGGTGTGGGTTTGAGAGGACCGGCAGATTCCTTGGTTTCGACCATGTTGATTGCCTGCAAGACGGAGATCGCCGTGTCTGCGTCCAAGGTGTGTTCCGAGGACGGCCGTGGGTGGCCGCTAGGTGTTGACGTCGCCATATGGGTACTTTGAAGAACTAGTTATCTTGAAGATTAGACAAGCCTGGAGCAGCTTCGCGATACAAGGGCAATCTTGTCGTCCAGAACTAACAACAACAGAACAAGGCTCAGGGTGGCTATATAAGTCGATACCAGTTCCACCATATTTGCATCACTGCACCCTATAAGTAGTTCCAACTTATAGCCCTTGGCGTGCCAGATGATCGGTTCGTTGTTCGACTCCGGATGAGCAGGATAGCGTGGTTGCATTCCATCGACATTCCTACGACCCGGGCAAAGGTACTTAATGCATGGCCTCCCGACGGCATGCTCGTGCATATTGGCTTCAAAACCTAGCTTGTGCACACTAGTCATTCGATGGCTCTACCCTTGCCGCCCACACCTCTACGGTATAGGTGGGACAAAGAATCTCGGCCTGCATGTCCTTCGCGTAGTTACGACTGAGTAGCTGAGCTAGACGGCGGGTATTTTAGCTGTTGGTATAGCGAGTTATAGGCTCATCGGTTAGCAGTGGTATGAAGACCGTCCATGATGACCCCAACATATCCACTACCATTAGGTAACTGGACAGACACTGTGAGACAAGATCGGCATATCCCTCTTCGCTAGCGCAAGCGTACATGCAGCTCGGCTGTGTTCCTGAAATGCCGTGTATCGTAGTCTTTGCCGTAAACGGCTCCATCACATGTAACGTCAACACCCCGCAAAGACAGTCTACCTCAACGTTTGTCGTTACTTCGTTTGCTCTAAAGCTCATCGAATAGTTCCCAATAGGAAGACAAGCAGAGTATGTAGCTCCAAAAGTGGCTGAGGTTCGAGGCAGTGATACACAAACATGAACACGATGTACTACGACGTCTCATGCAGCTCGAAACTCATGTCTGAGTGGAAGCCACGTGTATTGAGGCTCTAGACGGGCTTCATGCGTGTTGGATGCCGTAGAACGTGCTGCAGCTCAACCCCTGCCAAGGGTAGCGAACTGGCGGTGTCGGATGATGTTGGATAGGAAGTATTAATATTCCATGTAGTTATGTTCATCTAGTTGCGGATATGTTTGAATGTGCTCCGTAGGACTTGAGCGTCTAACGCCTGATAGGAGGCCAACAGATATAGACTGCCAGGAGAGATGAACGCTCATGGCCTCACAGCTAAACGTCAGTGTTGCAGCTAAGACATTGGAATTAGCTTACAATGTGGCAATTAGACAACAGCTAGCTCGAGTCCTGCAATACATTAGTGGTGACAGCTACGAGTGTACCTACACTGAGACATTTGCGTTGTCAGCCTTTGAGTAACCGTTCGTTTCATAGCTCGACGCTTCAACGTCGTACAGGGTGGAGACACCATTCGGGATCAAGAGGACAGACTTTGGTTCAGTTGACGCCAGTGTTACGCTGAGAGCAGGGAATCGGTGACACTGTCCCTGTAACCGTTCTCTCGCTATCCCCTACTCTTCGTTGTACAACTTATGGACCCCTCTCTTCAGCTTTCGGGGATGGAAGACCTCGCACGCGCGCGATGTGAGGTAGGCGGGTTACTGCGTAAATACTACCGCCAAACAATTCCTACAGTATAAGCAGTGTATCCTGCATGCTCGATTCGAGATCAGTTCGGGTAGGAAGAAGCCGATTGGTGTACTTTCTAAAGTGTTTAGTAAACACAACTCCACCCCAAAGCCCATCTCTCCCTTCAATTCCATTACAACGACGGGCGCGAAAAGTTAGATCCGCAGCCACTGATGCACATTCTAACTCCCTACTCCGCGGAAGACTAAAAGTTCTCGCGGCGATGTCGTCGGAACACCAACAACAGCGGCCCCGCCATTTTTAGCCACAGCGACACAAAATATGGCAACCCCGCACCAGCATCACCGGTATTTCTCGCTTCCGTGTCTCCTGCTTTCATCTCGCATATGCACAGATCCAGGATGCGTTTGCGCTGTGGAGGGCGAGGAGGCATGGAGGGTGGTCGCAGGTACGGCAACGTCATCGCCCCAGGGCACGAGGCAGTGCCAAATGTACCCTTATTGACCCAAGTAGTCCATATGCAGCATCACCTTATATTTAATAGTCTGATTACATGAACAAACAAGACGTCTCCATCTTACCAAGCCATGATTACTAAACTTCGGCAAACCTGCTTCCAGCCGAGCCAGCCAACACCACCTACAATCTCAACCTGGAAGTCTTCCCCTTCTGAATCTCACGATGTGATTAGTATCGTCAATTTATTGCGTTGTATGAATGTCCCATGTGTAGTGGAGAACACTTTGCTGAGTAAGTTGACATAATCTGAATAGTGTGATGAGGGGATTTCGGCGGCCGATGAGGCATCGGCAACTGGGTTGGCACCAATAGTCGAGGTGGTAGGTTTGAGTGTATGTGGTATGAAGATACGAGGGAGAAGGAATGATTACTCAAACATAGCAAAGAAGAGAGGTATAAGAAGAGGAGTCAAGATACCATAGTCAACCCATCATCAATCAACCTCATCTCATCCATCCACAAACCACCCCCAACACAAAATGTCCACCCCCCTAACCAACATCGTCATCCTCGGCGCCTCAGGCTCCGTCGGCCGCCCCATCCTCTCCGCCCTCCTCACCCTCCCCTCAATCAACCTCACAATTGTAACCCGCACCTCCTCCACCGCCACCTTCCCCACGGCCCCAAACATCCGCATCCACACCCTCTCCGACGCCCTCACCCTCACCGAACTAACAGCCGCCTTCAAAAACCACCACGCCGTCATCGTCGCCCTCTCCACCACCCCCGTAACCAGCGGCACCGGTCCCAACAGCCTCGCCTTCCGCCTCATCGACGCCGCCCGCGCCGCCGGCGTCCAACGCTTCATCCCCAGCGAATTCGGCGCCAATAACCTCGATCCCCGCGCTCGCGCCCTGGTGCCTGTCTACGACATCAAAGGCGCCATGCTGGAGTATCTCCAACAAACCTGCGCGGCCATTAACGGCGCGATGAGCTGGATGAGTATCAGCTGTGGTAGCTGGCTAGACTGGGCGCTTGACCCGGCTAAATCGGGGAATTTCCTGGGCATCGATGTTAAGGCGAGACGGGCGACGGTGTGGGATTCGGGCGAGAACCGGTTTGCGGTTACGACGAGTGAGAATACGGGGTTGGCGGTTGCGAGGGTGCTGGCGGAGCCGGATATTGCGAGGGATAGGCAGGTTTTTCTGTGTGATTTTTCGACGTGTACGAATGAGATTTTGGGGGCGTTGGAGAAGGAGATGGGGGAGCAGTTTGTGGTGGAGAGGAAGGAGAGTGGACCGTTGATCAAGGAGTTGAAGAAGAGGTATGATGGTGGGGATAGTGGTGCTGCGTTTCCGATTTTGGCGATGAGCTTTGGGGCCGATGTGGATGTTGGGTATGATTTCCCCAAGGAACAGGAGGTTTGGAATGAGAAGTTGGGGTTGCCCAAGGTGGGGCTTGAGGATGTTGTTAGGGAGGCTGTTGAGTTGGCGGCGAGGTCTTAGCTAGAGATCGCCATAAATATGAGTAGTAGTCAACGTTTGAATTTCACCAAGCTTCTCAAGACTTGAAGTGGAAGAGTATACAGTAGAATAAACATTTCCAGGCGGCGCACTACCTACAAGTGGCAACTGCAGAACCAGCCAGCACCAGCGTCTCTCGAAACAGAACAAAGTGTTAAAGGGTATTTTTGTCCAGCAGCAGCAAATCAGAAACAACCGCCGATCGAAACATAAAAGACATTATACAGAAACTGATGCTCTCTTCAGAGTGACAAGAGAGCACCTCGTCAGTTTTTCATCATCCTTGCCGTACCAGAAGAGAAGACAATAAAAGGACATTGGTATATAGCAATTCTCATGAAACACAACTTTGCAGCCAAAGCAAACACAAAGGCATTCGTTCGCGTCAAGCAAACGATACGTTTACCGGGCCAGCGACGACGACATACGAGGGGCACGGTCGATGGACATGCGAGCAGCGGCAACGTCCATGGAGCGGCGGGGGGAGCAGTCCCTGGACATTCTTGAGACCTGGTAGCTCATGCGCCAGTCAAGCGGCAGACGGCCCTCGTTTGTAGTCCTGCGGGAAGCATGGCCAACAACGACGTGCATCTCAAACTTGTCAAGACCGGTGGCTTGCATATAGGCCTCGTAACCCTCGGACTTTGACGAGCGCTTCATCCAGTCCTCGGCAACGGCGGAGGGGTACACGACGCGGAGCAGGGGCTCGGCGCCACGGAAGCGGTAGTACTGTCGGATGTCGTCGTGGGGGAAGAGGTGGAGGTCGATGCGCTTCATGGGGCCGTTGACGGCGCTGAGCCAGCTCTTGGTGCTGCCGTCTGTCTTGGGAAGGAGCTTGTTGAGCTCAAGGACAATCTCGGCGATGCTGCGGAAGACGACGCCCTCGGTTGAGGTGAATTGGCAGTCGGTGCGGTTCTTGCGGACGAGAGTACGGATCAGGGGTAGCAGGTCAATGGGCTCCATGTCGAAGCAGGCGGCGTCAATGTCCATGGACACTTGTCCTTGGAGGGCATCAATGTTTACGAGGTTTGCCTTTTGGCTCCAGAGATCGATGATGTAGTGGGCTTTCTTGGCGTAGATGGGGAGAAACTCGGAGCGGAGCTGGCGGCAGGCCTGGGTGAGGCCGTAAAACTGGCGCTTTGGGGCGGGGGCGGTCTCGCCGTCGCGGGGAGCAAGGGCTGGGTCATCGTGGCGGCACATACGGATGGGCACGTCCTCGTTCATGCTCTCGTATATGCGGTTGCGAACCTCTGTGTCACATTAGCGCATGTATATATGGAGCAATTGGGTCACAACATACCAGGAGGCAAGTCCAACAGGCTGGCTGGCGCAGTCTTCTTGGTAACCTGGACATCTTCGACCTCGTCTGCGACCTCAACGATCTCGACTACGGGCTCTGGCGTGGCTGATCGGACCTCCTCAACTACTGATACTGGCGCGACCTCTTCAACGGGAAGAGTGATCTGTTGGGGCTCGGGCTCGGGGGTTGCGGTTCGGGAGACTTGGATAACTTCCGGCTCGGGAGTCGCACAGCGGATAGACACTGCTTCGGGTTCGGGAGTCGCATGCCTGACGGTGGCATTCCATGGTTCCTCTTCGGGTGTGGCGCAACGAACCAGCATAGAAGCATCGCTCGTCTCAACTTGCGGCTCAGGTGTCGCGGCCCTGACAGTCGCATTCCATGGTTCTTCTTCCGGGGTAGGGCAGCGAACAAGAGTAGAAGCCGTCTCCTCCTTCTCGGGTTCAGGCGCGGGGGTAGAATTCCTTGAAGATGTAGTAGTGACGAGGAATTTCTGCTCGACCATCCACCCGGCACTCAACTTGCCCTTTTCATGGTGAACGGAAAAGTCGAGCGTGTTGCTATCCCTGCTTCTGCTCCGGCCTCCATCCCAATGGTGAACACTCTGCTGCACGGGACTCGGTACCGGGGCGATGGTGGGCACGCGGATGTCGTTCGCAGTGTCAGTAGTTGTTTTGTCTCCGGTGGCCGTAGTTTCATGCGCGATCTGCTCAAGCTCGAGCCCGGGTACATGCAGCTGTGGTGTTGCATCATTAGTGAGGTGCGGCTCAGTCGACAGCTCGCGCGTGCGTCGCGACCGACCACAGCTAAACAGGTCTGCAATGACACCCATTGCAGCTGGCTAATGGCTACTCCTTCCGCAACCGTACAAAGGTATTAAGGAATTAGGACGGTTGGTGTCGAGCGCACCGTCACAAAAGGAGAGGGAAACCGGCGCACATGCTTTGTCCGGGGAGCTCGCCCTCTATTATGTTTCTTTCATCACGATCGGCGCCAGTTGGTAAAAGTCACCGCTATACTGCTTCGAGTGCGCCTGAAACCCAAGGCGTGAACGGATTGGTGGGTAAGATTGCAAGCCGACAGGGATGGCCTGTCTTGGGCTTGTGCGTTACCCCTGATCACCTCTATCATCTCCACTCGTGTCCACGGCTATCTCTTATCGCCACGTGAAGCCCGCGCACATTCACTCTGCTCCATGCTTTGCTTACCTCAGGCCCGCAAGCAACGTCTCCTGCAGCCGCTTTTCGCGCTTCTGCCCACTCGATCGGGTGCTGAATCTTGGTATATCGGTCCATCGCGGAGCATGGTCTTGGTACCTAGGGTCCCTGCGTCCATTTGTAATTGGCTGACAGAGAGGACGAGGAGGCATAGTTGGTTATGCTAAAAGCTCCTTTGATATTTCTCATGGTTGTAGACCCTTGCCCTAAACCTTGCAACATGTCTCGCATTTGACAAAATCCAGCCATGGCTTCTTCTCAGCTGGCGGTTGCTTCTTGCTTGGTACCGGTACCCTTATGTGCACGGCCCCGCTTACCTCCGAACCTACCTTGGCCTAAACTTCACACCATACCAAATCTAAATAGTGCCTCTTGACTAATCCCCTTCAGTCCGACATGTCTTGAATCTGAACGCCATGACGAAATACCCGCAGGCCTGAGGCCAAGCGTTCCATCCGGACCTGCCGACTGACGTGTGCGGGGAGTGGGAGAATGATCGATATCGGGGCCATCTCCGGAGGCACAATGCCTGCGAAACAGCTTCTTGGGGTTATGACATGGCGATGGCTTCGAATAAGGTTGCGTGGTTTGATACTGATCAGGTAGGGCATAAACGATGGCGTAATGTTCCAATAAGTGACAGTCTTCAGCATCCGCGGGGACTCAGATAGCGAAACACTAGATCCTGCCTGTTGACCATTAACGCTATCGAATCTGCAGTGTAAGTAGTGGGGGTAGAGGGGCGAAAAGGCAAAAGAGGGGTTTCCCCTGACGTTGAGGGTACCGTTACATCCACCCTTCTCCTTTCCGTCGCAGTATGGACAAAGCAGTTCAGACAGGCACATGAAATCTTCAAAGTCAAAGTTGAGATCTATTTAAAGATAAGGCTTACACTCGACACGTCATTTAAGCCTGGCAACACAAACGCGAAGGGAGAATCATTGCTGGAACGACAGAAACCGGAAGAACGACAACTACACCAACCGCATCTATCCCTGCTGCCACAAACTCGTAGTATGCCCCGCAAAACTCACTCCATCAATCTCCCTAATTTCCTCATTACTCAACCTCCACCCCAATGCCGCACAGTTACTAACAGCCTGCTCTTCCTTCCTAATCCCAACAACCGGCGTAATCCCCTTGCAAAGGTTGTAATTCAGCGCCACAGCACTAATCGGGACACCATGCCTCTCCGCAATAACCTTGAGCGTTGCATTGACCGGCTCGATATCCTTCATGTCGTAGCTGGAAAAGCGATACGTCTTAGGCGGCTGGTGATCAGCCGTATACTTTCCAGTAAGCCGGCCCTGAGCGAGAGAAGAATACGACTGCAGTACGATACCGCGTTCTTTGCACGCCTGCAGCAGACCAGAGAGTTCTGGTTCTCGGCGCAGGACGGAAAATTCGACTTGGTTGATGGCTAGTGGGACGCCGTATTTAGACAGCTCTTCTTGCATCTTGATCATATCTGCCAGACTGTAGTTTGCTACACCGATAGTCTTCGTCATGCCCTTTTCGACGCAGGCGGCCATGCCTTTTGCGATCATTGGAATAGTTTGGAGGTGGATGGGTCCGTGCACGAGGTAAATGTCAACGTAGTTGAGGCCAAAGTTCTTGAGACTGGTTTCTAGCTTCTTGAGTGGGGCGTCGACGGGGTGGAGGATATCTTTTGCCTGGGGGACGACAAAGTACTTTGTTTGGATGATGAAGCTGTCTCGTGGCATTCCTTGGAATAACTTTCCGCATATTGCTTCACTTCTACCAGTGCCGTAGACCTGGGCGGTGTCGATGAAGTTGACCCCTTTGCTGACGCAGTGCTTCCATGCTTCGACTACGTGAGGCTCTTCCTCAGGCTTCCAGTTCCAGGTCGAAGTGTCGCCCCAGGACCATGCACCGATGCACAGAGGTGGTGCTTGAACATCACCATTTTTTCCTTTGTACGTGACTTTCTGGTCGGCGGTGGATATCCAGTCTTCGGGCTTCACGGCGGCGAGGCCATCAAATGAAGGGTCAACCGGGTTGGGCTTGGTGTGCTTGCCATGATGAACGCCAGTGACCGCCGACATGCCGGCAGACAGCCCGGCTTGAAGAACGTGCTGCATTTTCGCGGATTCGTATTATGTGGTGGAATGGAATAGTAAATGTAAATCAGTAGGTACACTTCATGTGCCACGGTCTATCAAATACCCAGTATGGCTGACGGCAAATTTGCGGCATTGCGAGTGAGCATTTTGTGTGATGCCACCATGACCCATAGACTGCATATCTGGCCTATACGCGCTGGCCGGTCCTGCATGGGTGGTAAATTTTCGGAGATGATGAACCTCATTTTGAGATGTGTGAGGCAAAACGGTCATGTTTCGATCTTAAGCTCGTCATGATGTTACTGTGATGTCATCCATCACAACCCTCATTTGTGTATTTGTATTGGCTTCAAACGTTCCCAGTAGGAGTCAACAAGACATTCCTGACGATTTTTAAGCATTTTAGTTGGTACAGTATCGTACGCCCACTGTCGTGCAAACCACAGTCTCCCGTAGATTGGTCGTCACAAGGGTGTTGCAGAACCTCGACCTACAGTCTGGGAGCTCGCAATCATTCCAATACCAATTACCATTCCCGGCCGAAAGATTCACATATACATCCTCATAGCTATCCATCAAAACTCGCCACACCACGAATGTACCAGGCGTACTAACAACACGTTTAAGCAGATGAAATGTTAAGAATGTCATAAAGTAGGCAAATAGCCATATCATATCGCTCATTCATTCATCTATCATATAAAAACCAAACCTCTATAGAATACTGTTGTCCGCGCATGTAAAGGCCCCGTTGACCTTTGTGGTGGCGAATGTGTTCAATAGTGAATCGATACTGGCGTACATACCAGGAACCACCATGAACAAGACCACAATCATAATGAAAACGTTGAAAGCAGCCGTAGCAAGCTTCTTCCAGCTCGAACGCCACTTGCCGTGCCAGTTGAGATGGAACCAGAAAAGTACAGTAACACCCCAGGTGAACCATGATAGCAAAAGTGCAGCGGAAATGTTGAGCAAGGAGTTGAAGACCGGGATGGCGTTGGCGAGAATCCAGACGACGACCCAGAAAAGAGTCACAGCGAAGAGCCAGACTGCCTGCTCTGTCTTCTTGCCAACGTCGGTCATGGTGATAGAAGCACGTCGAGCACGGGAGCTTTTCGGAACGCTGGGAGAGAGCTCTGTCGTAGCGCCGTTCTTCTTGGCCTTCCTCTCGCTAATCAGGCGCAGGAAATAGACATGGAGATAGCGTCCAGCTGTCATTCCAAATACTAAGCCGGTTCCGAGAAGTCCAATGAATGAGACACCGTAAGAGACCTTGGCCATTGTAGTCTTCAGAGATCCGAGGGCGGGCGAAGCGACTTGCTCACCAGATAGCGAGTATACAACCGCAGCGACAATGACGTAGATGGTGGTGGAAATACACTTTTCGATCGTGATGGCGCGAGGATAGTCGCGGGAGGGGTTCTCCATTTCGGCGAGGACTGTTGGGAAGGCTTGGTTGCCGCTGAAAGCGAAAGCGATGTTGAGGAACGCAGAGACAGCTTGCGTGAATGTTGGGCTTCCGATAGCCTTGAGGTTCAGAGGTGCTTCAGGGTTGCGAGGGCCCTGAACACCCAGGGCGATCATGACAACCATGACAGTCGCAATGATGGATATGGTGCACGGCCAGGATGCCCAGGAGACAAAGCGCATGCTGTGTGGTACGCACATTGCCCACATAGCCACAGCGGCGACGACGGTGAAGGCGACTGTGCAGGTTGCGTGGTCGCTGACAGTATTAAGTCCGATCGAGATTGTGACGACTGCCGAAGCGCTAATAAGTGCCATGTTGATCAAAAAGCCAACAGCAAAGACACATTCGACCCAGGGACCGCCGAGGACACGGCCGTAGTCGACGATGTTGAGCATGTAAGGGTACTTTCGCCAGTACTGTATGAGGTTGTATGCAGTGTACAGACTGAGCATACCCATACCAATGATGCACACAATACCTGGAAAAAACCCGAGCGTGTTGAGAGCGGCTGGCAGAGACAATATACCAATACCAATCTCGTTGGTCAGGAATATAATGACAGTTTGTGTGCAGTTGAGCTTCTTGCTCTCGCCTGGGTCTGGTCGTTGACTCGCATTCTGGATGTCTGATACGTCGCCTAGATGTGTGTCGGATTCTGACGACGAATCAAACTTCTCCGAGTCATTCTTGTTCTTGTGTCGCAAAGGGTCTTCCGGGTCGTGGGTAGGATCTGCTGCAAGGGCTACCGTGGGTCGGTGGGCGGACAAGGGTATGGTCTCAAAAGCGTTGGGCTTGGTGTCGAATTCATATGAATGTTGCGCGGGAACGTTGCCATGGGCAGATGCAAACTCTCTTTGGTCCATGATGAGGGGGTATCAAGCACTTACGCTTGCATGGGTTGTCGTTGTGGGGTTCGTTTCGATGGAAGAGGCTGAGGTGTGAAGAGTAGCAAAGGATGGTTCGAAAAGACACTGACAGAGGGGGTCTTTAAACCTGCAGCGAGACGAAGAGAAAGCGAGATGAACGGCCAAGCATACGGTGGAGTATTGAAGGGACATGGAGAATTACGTACTGCCGCTACCGATAATCGCACCGGGAACAAGGGCAGTAGCTGGTGGTAGCGTGGTCATAAAGGCCCAACGGGGAATCGCGCACCCAATAGACAGACGGACTATAAACGAGATAGGGTCTTGTGGACTGCGTGGAGACTGTCGTGGTTTTATCCACTTCGGGTATGTGGGCCACCCGCGAAGCCATATAAATCAACCTGTTAGTCAAGGAAACCATTTTGAGACAGCGATTCTTCCTGCAAGTAAAGTGAACCGAGTGGTTTTCGTGGAGCAGCGCTATCCCCCACGATGACGCCCCATACGAGAGTGCTGGGAATGCGGAGAAGGTGGCCGAGTGACGTCTGTTGTTGATCGACTCCGGGACGTACCGCGCTAGCGAGAGCCGCATCTTAGTATCCGCAAGCTGCGCCGAAGCAGGCCGGTGTGACATCTGCAAGCTTGGCCAGCATCGTCATTAGTCTGGGCAGCAGAAAAACGCGCAGGTTGAAAGGGCGCGATAAGCGGTTGGAAGTCCGAGGCAGTGGATTCCAGCGCAACGGGAGGATCAGCGCAGTCGGGTCGGCGAATCCCCCAAGAAGACACGAAGAACAATGTGGAGCAGGGTCATGCTTGGATGATGTGTGTCGCATTGGCCGTGACCGTCAAATTTTTGCACGGTAAAACGCCGGTTCGTTGAAAAGACGACCATGTTACATCGAGAGAAAGTGAGGCTTGGTAGCCAAGACGTCTAATGAAGGACGAATGGGAGCCTCAAAGGTCCAAGCTGCTCTCCAACTGGACCTGGGAAGGTCATATAAGACGACATGATAGGGCGGATGCGTGCTATGACTTCGACTCCTCCGTAGGCACTTGAGGTTCGTTTCCCGTACATTGGAGGACTACAGCGTTCAAGGAACAATTTTCTCCTTATCTGTTGCTTGTATCAAGTCGCGCTCAAAAGGGTAGGGTGGAGTCGATGTCGACTCTGGGTTGATGGAAACGTTGTCCCCTGGTGATGGTGGCTGAATCGTAATCCGAAATCGCATAGGATTTCAGCATGCCGATGGTATGTCACTCAGAATACGCTTGGTCGCGCCAAGAGTGTTGCTTGTTGGGCATGAAGCTGGCTCGTTAGCAGTGGTTAGGTATTGTAGTTGTTCGTCAATGCTAAGTAGATCGGGTGTTGTTGGACTAAGGTTGCGGTTCATCGGGCCTACAATGACATGCTGAGTGACATGCTGAAAGATATTTTGAGCCTCTTCATCCCGTAGGATATGCAGCTTATCTTGGCTTTGTGGGGAAGAGATGCATTGCCCCTGAGTGGATGCAGAATACGCGTCGATGCAAGCTGAGTAATGGGTTAAGATTGAGATTGACAATTGGCTGCCTCTCTTTCGATGTCTCGGCACCAATCGCGATAGGCGAAGGAAAGCGCGACGGGCAGCAAAAGAAAGTACGACCTCTGTGTGAAGCTGTAAGACGCGTAATAGGATGAGAACATGTCGCGCAGATTGTCAGCATGGTTACATGTCCTTTTTCCGGGATGCTGTGGCTGAGAGGCGGTTGTGCTGGCGTTGTTGGCGCTGCATGTGGCGCCGTGTTAGCCGGGCGGGAAGGCGTCAAGAAGCTTGGCACAACGTCAGCCACCAGTCTCAAACCCCAAGTACGTCCACTATCTTCTTGGCATCTAACAAGACGCGCAGCCTTTCCCCAGGATAACTCATATCCCATAACAGGAGCTGAGACGGGATGGACCGGCCTTGTCTCCACCCTATCGACATCGACATTGCTCCGCCATTCTTTCCTTCGTTCTTTCCTTCACCGTGTACCTGACTATCTGGTTGTCTGACTGTCTGACTGAGGTGACATCTTTCCTAGTGTGCGACGATCAGCAGGTTTCCACAAGACCCATAATCCCAAGCGCCATTCGTTCACATCCTGACACTCGGCCTCGCACTGTTTGTCACCCCCCACATCCACGATGATTGCCCGGATAGCTTTTTCGGCGCTGCTCTACGCATCCACTGCTTTCGCCGTATGCACCAAGCTCGAGGACTGCCCACAGTTCGAACACCTCAAAACGGATGAATGTCAGACATACCACCATTTCATCGCCCGAGGCTCCACATCGCCATACCCAGGCCACGTAATCGAGACTGTCGGCAAAGTTTGCAACGCCCTGAACACGCAGGAGAATCCCAAGGCCTGTGGCTATGAGGACGTACAGTATGCAGCCCAGAACGGGGGAGAGCGCTGGTGCAAGTCGGCTCATGAGGGTGCGATAAACGGCGCCGAACAGATGAGAAACTACACAGCGAGGTGTCCCGAAAGTCACCTGCTAGTCATGGGCTTCAGCCAGGGCGGCAGTGTTATGCTGGATGTACTCGGTGGTGGTGGTGGCATGCTCTGGGGATGTGACCAGGCGCAGAATCCCGCCATGGACATCAACAGCGCGCCGGGCTCCAAGGGTACGTTGTCTTCCCTCGCTACATTGGAAATGTTACTAATGCTTTACAGTTGCCGCAGCCGTCGTATTCGGTCCTACGCGTCGCTCCGCAAACCAAACCTTCACCCGCGGCGGTGGCGACATCTCTGACGGCGGCGCCCCACGATCAGCCGAGGAAAACGCCGGCCTTAAGCCCTACGCCGATGCAGGCAGGCTTCGCGAATACTGTCAGCCTGGCGATCCTATCTGTGCGCCTCAGACTGATAACAAGGACATGTCAAAGCACTTGGACTACTTTGACAAGTTCGGCGACGAGGCTGCCGCATGGGTAATCGATCTTGCAAAGAAGGCTGAAGGAGTGGACCGTAAGTCGAGCGCAGGCAACATGCTGCACAAGACCATTTCCCACCCGATTGCGAACGTCTTTGTCTTGATCTTCGTGCTTTGCGTACTATAGTAAGCCACTCTCCCTGCCTGTCGCGGACAAATCATAATTGTAATAGACGTTCAACCATGGAAGATCTAACGTTGTGACCACATTGACTGAATGAATAAAGACTAATACAGTACAGCTTCGTCGTAAGAAAGTTCGCCGTATGGAAGACATCGCCCATCTACGCTCGTGTCAACACAACCGAAACCGTATGAACGCGAGTTCCTCATCTCGATTGCCCGGAAACAACTTCGTTTGCATATCAGAAGCCTTGACACTACGACCTTGGGCGTTCTCGATCAGTACAATATCCTACGGGTCAGTGAAACCAGCGTCGCCTCGCGACAGGACAAGCGCCGAGCAAAGATGCCAAAGAGTAGGGGCACGAATCTGCATAGCCATTGGACATGCTAGGGACTCTATGCCGAATACTGTTCACTGTATCATACCAATTGTATGTATAGCATTTATTATCAGCAGACTTGATTCTGGGAATCAACGTCATCATTCCATTCTACACCATTTGGTATCACACATCTTTCCACTATTTACCATAGACATCTCAAATAGAGATAGACAAAGACAAGAAATATACTACAACATAATCTACAGCCTTCTTACGCAACTCTACATCCTCCCTAACTACACCTACACAATGCCCCCCTCATCCTCACCCCTCCACCTCTCCGCCCACGTCTTCACTCCCTCAAAATCCCTACACACTCGCTTCGTCCCCCATGCATCACTACCCAGCACATATCCCTTATCGCCATCCGCTCTTCCAAACTCCTGCATCTTTGTTCCCTCTAGATTAGTATCCGCGGCACACATGAGCGCTTGCCGCAGGTACTCGAAACAGTGCTTTATATGCTCATGGCCGTGGCTGTGTTCCGCGAGGAGGGATCCCGGATACAGGTTCTGTATAGATGAACCTGTTATGTGAGGGTGGTCGTCGCGGGTGTGGGTGTATGGATCTCGTTCTTGCTGGTATTGGAGTTTTGAGAGGGCGTAGGAGATTTTGAAGTAGGAGAGTCGGAGTCCGTGCTGGGCGTTGTTAGATCCTTCATACACGATGAAGCGGCGAGAAGGAAGACCAATATACATACCAAGCAATGCAATTCATGGAACACAGCAATAGCCTTTATATCTTTCGCCAACACGGGATGCTGAATGAAGCCTCGACCACTAGGTATCAAACTCTTCCATGCTGCTTCCGTGGCGGCATTGGGAGAGGCGGCGAATGTGGTGTTTTCGCTCCAGACGACGTTTTGGATGTAGCGTTGGGTTGTTGGCGTAGGGGGCTGCGTAACATCGTGTTAGTGTTCATATCAGGTATTTGACAGGAGGAGATGGGGTACCTAGGTATCCGTCAAAGTCGTACTCCAAAGCGAAGAATTGGGAGACAACGAGACCGGTTAGTAGACTGAAGAGACTGATGAATGTGTAGGTGCATGTAGTTTTGAAGCGGGATCGGCGAGGGCGATGTAGGTTTTTTGCTAGGAGGTAGACGTTTTGTTCATCCGAATCTTGGTTGGCTGTTGATGTGTTGGTTCCTGCATGGTCGCTTTCTTGTTCCGTCGATTCTTTGGATAGTCGGTGGTAGGGGATCGTTTTGCGGGTAAAAGGGTTGGGGATTGGCATTGTTGCAATACGGTTGCAGCTAGATCAGACGGACGGGTCGAAGCTGATGGATTAGCTGGGGCTGCAGGTACAATCCTATTGTATCATACGCATGGGCTGGCGGGTATGTATTCACACCCTAATCAGGTAAGCACTTTGCCGTTGGACATCTAGAACTTGGATCCACTGATATTCTTGAACAAAAAAGTTTTCCTATTGAGTATCATTTCCAAGGCTATTACTTAAGGCTAGCCTGTCATGTCGCTACTCCGAGGGAATTATCACTGCTGTCGCAGAGGGGTATCATACAATTTTCGCCGTCAAAGAGAAGGGTAGAGTCCAGAAGCCATGACTCCTACCACTCAGAGGGTATTCCATCACCAAAGATTATCGCCGGTTGTTGAAGCGTTCGAATTATCGGAAAGGTGGCTAGTTGAGCTTCTTGTTGCCGACCGTGACCGTCCTGCCCTGGCTGCGCTGGTACTGGAGAAACCCGAAGACAAGAGCAGCGATGACGCCCAACATAAGAACGTTGCCTGATATGGTGTTAGCAACTTCCACCGATCCACAATTCACTTTCTCTGTCATCACTTACCGAGTATGAAGCTCACGAGACCTCCAGCGAGATCGACAAGGCCACGGAAGAAGTCAACAAAGAGGTTGAGGATTCCAGTAGCAATGCTGAGGAAGAACTGTGCCGTCTTCTGAACGAGTTCGCCGGCAGTGGTGAAGAAGGACCAGACGACTTCTAGCAGCGACTTGACGAGGTCGGTGAGAGCGCTGACGATGGACGACATGTTGATTGGTTTGAGGGTTGTAAGTAATGGTGGGAATTGTCACTTTTGAGGGTTGAGGAAGTGTGAGGGTCAGGTACGAAGTGAGTTTGAGTGGGAGTGAGGTTCCAGGGATGTGGTGTTTGTCAGTAAGGCATGAGCGGCTTCCAAGACGCCTTTATCGCTTCCAGGTGTGAGGGATGACGCTTCAGCTACGTGGAAACGGGGCAGTTCCTGTTTCACTGCAGCCGCTACCTGATTGCTGTTTCTGTCGAGGGGGCTGGTTGGCTATGCGTGTGAATGAGCTCGTTTGTTGTGACATGTGACGTCAGTGTGTAACCATCAATGAACGCCTGTTTGCGGCAGGGTCGCTTGACAAACCAGGTAATGGCAGACACGATGGGATGTTCCTGACGAATAGCGTAAATTACAGAGGGATCTAGACTCTATTGGATCGTGCTGCTTTTATGTTTTTTGCTGGCGTAGAATGCCACCAGATACTGCAATGGTGGCCCTTTAGACATATCTAGGATATAGTGTAAGATTTATTGCGTAGCTCTAGTTAGAACCGTTTCCATTCTACGTTGAACTAATTAGTTGAGAAAGGCCCTTCGCATACTAGGATAATAGCTGACTACTCGCATGTATTGATATACGGCAAATGAGGCCGTATTGCAGAAAGCATGGTCCTTCGAGCCGTGGAATAACACATGGGACGAGATATTCGCCCTGAGGTTTCTTACGAAACATGCGGCTGAAATTAAGTGCAAAATGTACACGATCTATCAACACGATTTCCCGTGATAATTGTCGTGGTCAAGCGCGTCGTAATGTCGGCCCGATTGTAGGGCTGCATCATGGGGCTCCGGCATGGGGCGGGACATTGAATACATCGTCCCGCCATTGCTATTTTTTGTACGACCGCATCACCTAAAAATGTCGTTCAAGTTCGACAAGCTCCTTGCGAAAGGAAAGGCGAAGCTGTCCGAGTTTACAGGCCAGCCCTCTGGTAGTCAGCATCAGCAAGGCTATCCAGGGCAGCAGCCCCCGCAAGGATATCAACAATCCCCTCCAGGGTACCAACAGCCTCCCCAGGGTTACCAACAACCGCCTCAGGGCTACGCGCCAGGCCAGTACTCTGGCAGCCAATATCCTCCTCAGTATCCTCCACAGTATCCGCCCCAGAACCAGTACCAGCAGCCTCCTCAGAACCAGCAATGGGGTGCGCCTCAACAGCAACCGCAGCAATGGGGCTCGCCGCCTCCCCAACAACAGCATTTTGCACCACCCGTCCCACAAGGTAGCAAACCTCAGACACCACAGCCTGGCTCCCCGCCGCCTATCCCTCAGAATCGCCCCCAATCCGCCCAACCGCCGCCCCCGCAGAACCTTCCTCCCCCGCAAGCAGAGAAGGTGTACTGGAAGCCCTCGTTTGCCATCACGACACCCGTGTCGCAGAATTTCCGGCATGAGATTGGCGACCATGGTTGGGGTAATAACGAGAAACAAATGTACACAAACGACCCAGCAAACTCGTTTCATCATGACAATCGCTTGATTGTACGCGCGCTGGTACAGAACGGTAGCTACACGTCTGCGCGATTGACCTCGCACCAGACACTTTCGCGACCGCGCGGATACTTGACGGCGACGTGTCTACCCCCCTCAGCACCTGGAATCTGGCCTGCATACTGGATGCTTCCGGCAGATCCATTCAAATGGCCAACTGACGGCGAGATAGACCTCGCTGAGAGCTGGAACGGCGAGACCGAGAACCATTCGTGCTTGCACTGGGGCTCGTATACCGGCGAAGACGCACAAAAGCACCGCGTCGTCAAGACGCATCTACCCGATCTGCCACGGCAACCCCATACCTACGGTTTCGCTTGGATAGAAGAAGAGGGCATACCGGGCTGGAGAGGGCGTATGATTTGGTACATTGATGGCAAACCAGTCATGAAGGGTTCCATTCCAGAAGGGACAAGGCGTATGGAGGACTTTAGGATCCTCATCAACATTGCCATGGGTGGAACTGTAAACCAGGGGAAACTGCCAGCTGACGGATACTACGACTTTGTAGTTAGTGATCTCAAGATGTGCGAGGAGCCTCAGGGTGGATGGCAGCAGTTCGAGCATGCTTGGAGCTGCACACCCGAGGGTAAAGCCTTGTAACCAGATCCACGTCTCCAATACACTACTTCCCATTTTCTCCTCTCAACTCACTATGACCACATTGATCTTCGCTCAGCTTGTCTAATTTGTAGGCTTGCTTATCCGTGGTCTTGATGGCTCCCTCGCTTATATCGATCCTACTATGGAAATACGACTCTTCTGGGCGCGCGTACCATGGGACGAGCATTACTAATTTTGTGCACACTGAGCTAATCCTCGCGAATACAAGTTTGCAGCCAACTCAAATCTACTATTCCGTTGCCATCACACACCACTGTCAATCCCATCACGAAGCTCCACCCCAATCATCAACATGCCGAAGCGTCATACGACCGAAGATGATAACGCGCCCACGGGTAAGCGATTTAAAACAGCCATGTCGGACACTCAAGAGATCCCGTTGCAGCCAAATTCTCCATTCCTTTCCCTGGCTGGAGAGATACGGAATATAATCTACGCATATTGTGTCGACAACAATAGACCCACATCATGTGAATATCAGGTGACCAATATGGTACAGACTCAAGTATCTCGTGTAATAAACAAACTTGCTGATGCATACAGACAGCAGATCGAATGGAGCATGTGCCTACCACTAGGCTCCGCAGTGGTATCCAATACCCCCATGTTTACTGGATTGACACAGGTTTCAAGGCAGATACGTAAAGAATACCGACCGTTCTATTAAGCAAATATGGATGTAAAAGTTGAGTTGGATGAATTCCTGCATTCCTCAACGCTTGGTACCCTTTAGAAGAGCCGGTCGAGGTTATGGCGGCATATACGGGCTTTATCACTGTGGTAGTCCTGTGCAAGCCTGATCAGGATTGGGAACCTGTCCGAATGCTCGCAACGCTTTGCAACCGCGCCCCGAAGCTCACCGTCTGGTCCTATGCGCACTGTGAATGTGTTCGTACGCTCAACGTTAACTGGGCGATAATGTTTGATTGTTGTCAAAGGAGCTGAGGGGGCGCATGTTTTTGTGGACTTTTCGCTCACCGCTCCCGTATTAAAGAGGGGGGCCATCATATACGTTGGGAGGACTGGCATATTTTTGATATGATTGACCATTGTGTTGGTGAGCATTATCATTGGCCTGGGGTGTTTTAATGTCCAAATGTACGCCAGACTCTTTCCGATGCCATCGACATTTATGTCTGTCATCATTAAAGATGAGTGGAATTTCTCCCGTTTCTCTGGTCTCCATATCGGTCTTTCTGACCGCCTTCTGCTCCATTGCGGCAACTACAGCAACATATTACGGGAATGGAAATAGCCAAACGGTGCAGCTTGGCAGTTCGATACATTGCTCAGGATATACGCCGGCGATCCTTGTCCGTGATGGAATTTGTTGTACAAGATTCGCTGATCGCGTGCTAACCAGTCGATCGCGCATGGCTTGCTCTAGTGGTAATGCCAAGTATTGTTGTTATACATACTACAGGATGGGGCGGTGCCACTCAATATCAGTGTGTTATATCTCAGGATGGAAAGATATCCAAATAAACATTCCATGAGTATTACAGCCATCAGACCACCGGCGCAATTTCATACTAGCCACATAAGGCATAGCTTAGAGTGCCGGTTAAAAGGCCCTTCTCATCCGGGTACTTTTTAGATTCCTCTATCTTCCTCCGTCTGTGCTTGACACTTGTAACTACTGAGGTACAATCGATTGCTCATTATACATTAGACAACACAGAAACCTTCATTCTGATCGATAGCGCCGCCGCAATGTCTACCTCACCCCTCCTGTCACTACCTGGCGAACTTCGTAACCGGATCTACGAATTCTGCACTGAACCAAAACCTAGGCAGCTACCAAGGAACCCAAGGCCTGATTATGCGCGTAGGCCATTCGGGCTGTATGGTAGCCTACAGTACACATGTCAGCAAGTGCGCACGGAGTTCAGGCCGATTTACTTGGCCCGCACGGCTCTGGTTGTCCATCAAATCACCGCGGATACCTTTCTCAGAACATTCTACCCGCAGCCAACGAAGGTTGCACCTTCAAATGAAGTACAGTCAGCCAAAAGCAAACCCCAGGAGCTACCTGTATTCATCCCAACGGCCATATACGGCGTGCAAGGCAACATCCACGTCAGAACGTATTTTGGCCAGCGCTATGATGCGACGTTACTAGCACGTCTCTGCCTACAACACAAGCAACTCAAAGTCACGTTTCTCGAAGCAAGCGCCAGCCTCAACATAGCTCTTGCTTTGACCGATTTCTTTGCAAATCTATCGTCGGGCGTCTTTTTGCTGGACCTCGGGAAGCTGTTTATGAAGATTTCAATTACTTGTAGTCGTTATCCGACGATTGCTCTTACTTTTCACCCCGGCCGATCTATGAAGGACGTTGTGGCATCAGATGGAACATCAGATCCACGGGAACTGCTGGTCAGAATGGGTGCACCGCCAATGAGCGAATTCACTGTTTTGTTCAAGTCAGCGCAATTTTCTAGGCGCGCCTCGGGGTATTCACGAAGTGGGGGTAGTAGCAGAGCAGAATGAACAAGCGCGAGGACCAGTCCTGTGTGACTGCGCTAGTCCTATCTCAGGACAGTGGTATGATTGAGACCTACCTGTGCGCATTATTCTTAATGCCCCTCTTCCACGACTACATCCCACCTCCACGCAACCTCAACTATCACAAACGATCGACACTCTTACCTGAACGTAACGACGTTCTCTCGCGTCATCATGAGCGATCGCCAGGGATAACTTCGCTTTCTCGACTTGTCGGCAGGTAGGCATATCTCAAATTAGTTGCACCGTTACATTTGCTAATCCGGCAATTAGAGCAGCGCAACCGGGTTTACGAATTCATCGTAGAAGCCGAAGGATCACGCGGTGTACTTCCATGTCTCGCCCTTACGCAAGTCTGCCGACAAGTGCGATCTGAGTACAGACCCATCTGCATGAAGCACGACGGCATCATCAAATGGAAAAAGATCCCCGGCTACATACGCACATTTTATCCGATATCGGCTGATGGCAAGGTCGAGAACATCGAGCTCGCGCCCTCTAGCTTGACCATAAGGTTTTTTGATCCATTCACCGACACGGCGTATCTAGAAATCGATTTCCTCCTCATCAAGATGGCCATCTCCAAGCCCAGCTTTGCTTCCAAACTCCTGCTTGCTTATTCCTTCTATTAGAACCGGCATCGTTGTCCAATGGCTACTTTGAGCCAGACTTGCTATCAGTCAGGTAACTCAGTTCGAACTGACTGAACTGACTGCCAAGACTCAGTTCAGTCAGTCAGTTCTTGAGGCAGCTGGACGTCAGTCCAGTCAGTTCAGAAGCCTCCAGACTGACTGAACTGACTGACGTTAGACTGACGTTAGCTGTTTTTAAAGCAGTATTTTAGAGTTGTGAAAGCCACATTTAGTGCGGCTTCGAAGCCGCGCTAGTCCTAGATATAAAGACACTAATCCTATATAAGTTAAAGCATCTGGCTTTAAGCTAATTAGAGTTTGCGGAAATGCGCTACCCGGTGCGCACCTAGTAAGCCTTTCGCGTCGCGTCGCGTCGCGTCTGCTATACACACGACGCTAGACTACTGTTGCCATAATACTTCTTGGTGTACTTCATGTCTACTCCCTCTAATTCAGGCCTTCGCCGCCTTGTAGAATGCGACAAGCGCAATTCTCCTCTACCATCGCTATCAAACGCGCCTACTGTTGGCGATACTGCGAGCGAGGCCCAGGCTGATGAGCCCTTGGCAGTACAGGCGGACTTCCCCAACGACGGCGACGACGACGACGACGACGACAATTACGACGGGCTTGATTTTAAGCGTGTGCCGTATCTTGAGCGGCGCCAGGTTGAGCGTAATAGTCGCGGTGGGCCAAAAAGCTGGATCTACCGCCACGGCTGGGCCGTCTGGCACCGCAAGTACAAGAAAAACTACTGGCTTTGCCGGTACTGCCATCAACGACGGAAGCAGGAGGCTTGCTACGAGGCTGACAGCACTACAAACGCCGGCCGACACCTCTCAAGCAACAAGCCTGGACACTCACACGGACCTAACGGACCTGTACCAATTGCTAGCCGGGAGGGCAATATTATGGGCGCGCTCGCAAAGTCCCAAGTATATATTATGAGGTCTAAAGGGATAGAAGTATCGCAAGAGGTAGCAAACGAGATAGCAGCAAGCTTTTCAACCTCTCGATTTCAGGACGCGCTGAAGGACTGGGTAGTCGCGGACAACCAGAGCCTTCGCGTAATAGAAACGCCGCAGTTTCGAGCCATGATTGCGGCCGTGAGCCCGCTAGCCGAAGCTCTCCTTTGGCGTAGCCACTAAACGCTCCACGATCATATTATTACTGAGTACAATACATACATACTAGCTGTTGCCAACTACCTTCGCGAAGCCCGGTCGCTTATACACGTGTCATTCGACAACTGGACTTCAACTGGTGGGCAGTATGCTTTTACTGGCCTCTGCGTACATTACCTTAACAGCGAGGGCAAGCTAGTTGACCACCTGCTTGGGTTGCCTGAGCTACACGGGGCGCACACTGGCAATAATATTGCCGCTGCAGCAACAACAATACTTCGGCTATTTGGCGTTGACAACGCGAGGGTTGGGTACTTTGTGCTTGACAACGCAAGTAACAATGATACTGCAGTTGAGTCCTTAGCAGAGGAGTTTGGCTTTATCGCAAGCGAGCGGCGGCTGCGGTGCTGCTGCCATATACTCAACCTAAGCGCACAATTAGTAATTTGGGGCAAAGACCGTAGCGCGTACGAGAATGAAGCCGCACACCTTGAGGAAGAGGAGAAGTACATGGATGAGTGGCGCAAATACGGTCCTGTTGGCGTCCTCTTTGACGTGATTGCGTCTATCTGTACGCCTCAAACTCGACAACTACTAGAGCGCCTACAGTGCGAGGAGGCAGAGTCTCTAGGTGTTACACCCCACATCCGGCAGCTTGTGAAGCCTGTTAAGACACGCTGGAATAGCTATTTCAACACGTTTGTCCGTGCAGCTGAGCTACACGGCCCTATCGATGGCTATATTGAGTGTAAACTTGAGGAGCATAGTGCTGCAACAGCAACCTCACGACGCCGGAAGAATCGTGAGCAGCTCCCTGCTGCCCAGCCACGGTTATATATACGCGAAGGGGGTCTAAGCGGCAAGGACTGGGCGACAATAACAGAATACATTCGACTCCTTGAGCCATTTGCCGAAGCTGCACGGCTACTTGAAGGTCGCGGCCGACACGGCCGACACGGCGCTATATGGGAAGTTCTAGTAACGTTTGAGTGGCTTCTTGACCAGCTTGAGGCTCTCAAAGACCGCCTTAAGGATGTAAATTACGAAGATCTAGATGCGCCTGAAGATCATCTTATTACAAACGTTAACCTTGCGCATTGTAAGCTTGCTGAGTACTACGCAAAATTCGATAACGCGCCTGTCTACTACACTGCTACAATACTACACCCGCACTACAAACACCACCTCTCAGCGCTCTGGAAGGTGCCTGACACCCATGTCACTGCCCGTGACGGTGTCCACTATCGCGACGGCTGGCTTGACAATAACCACCGGGCATTCCTGCGTATGTGGCAGGGGCGGAAGGACTCTGCAGCCACTTCAGCTCACACTGTAACGCCGCCGCGTAAGAAGCCCCGGCTAGGGATTTCAACGTCGCGATCAGCTTTTCTACAGTCGTCAATTGAGCAAAGCACACGGCAGTTAGAGGCAAGCCTTGCTGAGGATGAGTATGAGATATGGAAGCGGCAACCAGCGTTAGCTGAGGAGGATTGGCTGTCTCTTAATCCGCTTCTATACTGGGAGTCAGTTGCTGGGCAGTTCCCTATACTCTCAAAGTTCGCTATTGACGTCCTAACAATACCAGCAGCAGCGGCAGACTGTGAGCGGACTTTCAGCGAGCTTGGCGACATGTTAGGCACCCGGAGACTCCATATGAAGCCAGAGCTTATTTCAGCTTTGCAGAGCTTGAAGAGCTGGAAGAGGCTTGGTATACAGCCAACAACTACCTCAGCTTCTGGGCTAGCGCGCACACTATCAGAGGAAGAAATCTCAAAAGTACAGGAGCATTTATCTCAGTTCGACGTCAGGTAACTCAGTTCAGTCAGTCCAGTCAGTCCGCAGGCCGCGGCGACGTCAGTTCAGTCAGTCAGTTTTAGTTTAATTGAAAAGTCTTGGCAGTCAGTCCAGTCCAGTTCAGTGACCTCAGGACGTCAGTTCAGTCAGTCCAGAGAGCTCCGGACTGACTGAACTGACTGATAGCAACTCTGCTTTGAGCTCAAGTGACATATCTGGAAAAAAAGAAATCTTGCGCAGTGCATTCAGAATTCGTCGGGCTATGGAGCACCGAGGCCTAGCATGGATTTCTGATATCGAAAGCAATCGGATAACCGAAGTTGTCCTTTTCTGCAATGAAGCGCTCGGTCCGACTTTGAAGGTATATGTGGGAGAAGATGTGGTTCCTGTAAAGAATTGGGTCACAGAGATTATGTATACTTACCAAGAGCGTGATCCTCATTGGTTCCGGAAGTATCAATAGATGATGTTTCTTTCTAATTAAAAATTTTCGCCGTAAACCCCCACCACCGATTGCCTAGCTCAAACACCCAACTCTCATTCCATTGTTGCCACATAGCCCCCCACGAACTCTAAAAACACTTGCTAGCCATCTGTAGCGTCTTAATCCTCCCGCACCGGCTTAATTTGCGGCTTCTTCTTCTTCTTCTTCTTCTTGTCCTTGGGTTTGCATGTTGGAGGGAATTGAGTTCCCGGTGGAAATGTATTGCTACAGTGTCCTGCATAGCATGCCTGAAAACAATCATCGTTAACACAACTGTTGGTCGTGCATTCGCAGAAGTCCCAATCGCAACCTAAGGCTCGATTCTAAAATCGTACGAAGTTTTGGTTAGTGTGGCTATTGAAAGGTGATGAGACTGTTTTGGTCACACCTGAGATCAATCAATCAAGCAAGCTGACAGCCCCCGGCTTGATTGATTGGCTGTTTGTATGAGATTTGGCTGGATTGATTGAATTGGCTTGGCGGAAAGTTGTTAGCTTGATTGGTAGCTTGGGTGCTTGATTCCCAAATAGGAAAGTTGTATATATTTTTTGGTGTTGAGTCTCAGCCGTCGTCCCATGTATCTAGATCGTCGTCTTCGCCCACCCACTTGCTAAGCTCGTACAAAACGTCCATCTGCTCGTCGGTAAGCTTTGATTGGCCCATATCGTCGTTGTCGCCGCCACCAAAACCTGCCCGTCTCCATCGTCGTACTGAGTGTAGTGCTGCTAGTAGCTCAGGTGATATACAGCGTCGGCGAGGCTCTGGTAGATCTCCGAGCTCACTGAAGACGCGCTCACACTCACAGCTTGAAGCGGGTATAGAGAGTATAGTAAGCGCCATCTTACTAAGGTTGGGATATTGATCGCGCAGCCCGAACCAGTATTGTATAGGATCGGTGCCCTTGCCAACGATTGGCTCGCGCTTCCACTGCTCATACTCATCCTCCTTAGTATTGCCGCGTGTGGGATCAATAATGCCGTCAATCGCGTCGTCAATATTGCTCGGTTTCTTCGGTGCGCGTGTGTAGCAAGGCCTCGGTAACGGCAGCGACTTGTAATCCGCCCACAGTGCCTGGAAATTAAGATTATTAAGCGCCAGCCAGTCAGGCTTCTCAGCCCACGCTTGATCGCAGTAGTGTTTGTAGCGAGGATGGAGTATTGTAGCAGCGTAGTAAGCTGGCGAGTCGTCGAGTTTAGCGTAGTACTCGTTCGCCTTAAGTAGCGCTGCGCGTAGATTAATAGGAAGGTGATCTTCGGGTGCCTCGTCGTGAGCGTCATGGACTACGCAATCGTAGTAGAGGAGGCGAGCTTCTAATTGAGTGAGTAGAAACTCAAACGTTGGGATCACCTCAGCGATCGCGCCAAAGCTATACTCGCCACGTCCCTCAAAGCGCTTTGTACACTCTTTAAGTGGCCTAAGAACCTCTATATAGTCGGTAACAACAGCCCAATCGGCAGCTGTGAGGCCGTCTGATCTCATCCACTGTGGAGCAGCAGGCCGATTTTTGCCCTGTGAGTCGGCGTAGATATCCTC